GCACATGGAACGTTCTCCAGAATAGACCACATACTGGGTCACAAATCGGGTCTGAACCGATACCAAAAGATTGGGATCGTCCCCTGCATATTCTCAGACCATAATGCCTTGAAATTAGAACTAAATCACAACAAGATGTTTGGAAGGACCTCAAACACGTGGAGGTTAAGGACCATCCTGCTAAAAGATGAAAGGGTCAACCAGGAAATTAAGGAAGAGTTAAAAAGATTCATGGAAACTAATGAGAATGAAGATACAACCGTTCAAAATCTTTGGGATGCAGCAAAAGCAGTCCTAAGGGGGAAATACATCGCAATACAAGCATTCATTCAAAAACTGGAAAGAACTCAAATACAAAAGCTAACCTTACACATAAAGGAGCTAGAGAAAAAACAGCAAATAGATCCTACACCCAGGAGAAGTAGAGAGTTAATAAACATTCGAGCAGAACTCAACAAAATCGAGACCAGAAGAACTGTGGAACAGATTAACAGAACCAGGAGTTGGTTCTTTGAAAGAATAAGATAGATAAACCATTAGCCAGCCTTATTAAAAAGAAGAGAGAAGACTCAAATTAATAAAATCATGAATGAGAAAGGAGAGATCACTACCAACACCAAGGAAATACAAACGGTTTTAAAAACATATTATGAACAGTTATACGCCAATAAATTAGGCAATCTAGAAGAAATGGATGCATTCCTGGAAAACCACAAACTACCAAAACTGGAACAGGAAGAAATAGAAAACCTGAACAGGCCAATAACCAGGGAAGAAATTGAAGCAGCCATCAAAAACCTCCCAAGACACAAAAGTCCAGGGCCAGATGGCTTCCCAGGGGAATTCTATCAAACGTTTAAAGAAGAAATCTTACCTATTCTACTAAAGCTGTTTGGAAAGATAGAAAGAGATGGAGTACTTCCAAATTTGTTCTATGAGGCCCGCATCACCTTTATTCCAAAACCAGACAAAGACCCCACCAAAAAGGAGAATTACAGACCAATATCCCTGATGAACATGGATGCAAAAATTCTCAACAAGATACTAGCCAATAGGATCCAACAATACATTAAGAAAATTATTCACCATGACCAAGTAGGATTTATCCCTGGGACACAAGGCTGATTCAACACCCGTAAAACAATCAATGTGATTCATCATATCAGCAAGAGAAAAACCAAGAACCATATGATCCTCTCATTAGATGCAGAGGAAGCACTTGACAAAATACAGCATCCATTCCTGATCAAAACTCTTCAGAGTGTAGGGATAGAGGGAACATTCCTCAACATCTTAAAAGCCATCTACAAAAAGCCCACAGCAAATATCATTCTCAATGGGGAAGCACTGGGAGCCTTTCCCCTAAGATCAGGAACAAGACAGGGATGTCCACTCTCACCACTGCTATTCAACATAGTACTGGAAGTCCTAGCCTCAGCAATCAGACAACAAAAAGACATTAAAGGCATTCAAGTTGGCAAAGAAGAAGTCAAACTCTCCCTCTTCGCCGATGACATTATACTCTACATAGAAAACCCAAAAGTCTCCACCCCAAGATTGCTAGAACTCATACAGCAATTTGGCAGCGTGGCAGGATACAAAATCAATGCCCAGAAGTCAGTGGCATTTCTATACACTAACAATGAGACTGAAGAAAGAGAAATTAAGGAGTCAATCCCATTTACAATTGCACCCAAAAGCATAAGATACCTAGGAATAAACCTAACCAAAGAGGTAAAGGATCTATACCCTCAAAACTATAGAACACTTCTGAAAGAAATTGAGGAAGACACAAAGAGATGGAAAAATATTCCATGCTCATGGATTGGCAGAATTAATATTGTGAAAATGTCAATGTTACCCAGGGCAATTTACACGTTTAATGCAATCCCTATCAAAATACCATGGACTTTCTTCAGAGAGTTAGAACAAATTATTTTAAGATTTGTGTGGAATCAGAAAAGACTCCGAATAGCCAGGGGAATTTTAAAAAAGAAAACCATAGCTGGGGGCATCACAATGCCAGATTTCAGGTTGTACTACAAAGCTGTGGTCATCAAGACAGTGTGGTACTGGCACAAAAACAGACACATAGATCAATGGAACAGAATAGAGAACCCAGAACTGGACCCTGAACTTTATGGTCAACTAATATTCGATAAAGGAGGAAAGACGATCCACTGGAAGAAAGACAGTCTCTTCAATAAATGGTGCTGGGAGAATTGGACATCCACATGCAGAAGAATGAAACTAGACCACTCTCTTTCACCATACACAAAGATAAACTCAAAATGGATGAAAGATCTAAATGTGAGACAAGATTCCATCAAAATCCTAGAGGAGAATGCAGGCAACACCCTTTTTGAACTTGGCCACAGTAACTTCTTGCAAGATACATCCATGAAGGCAAAAGAAACAAAAGCAAAAATGAACTATTGGGACTTCATCAAGATAAGAAGCTTTTTCACAGCAAAGGATACAGTCAACAAAACTAAAAGACAACCTACAGAATGGGAGAAGATATTTGCAAATGATGTATCAGATAAAGGGCTAGTTTCCAAAATCTATAAAGAACTTATTAAACTCAACACCAAAGAAACAAACAATCCAATCATGAAATGGGCAAAAGACATGAACAGAAATCTCACAGAGGAAGACATAGACATGGCCAACATGCACATGAGAAAATGCTCTGCATCACTCGCCATCAGGGAAATACAAATCAAAACCACAATGAGATACCACCTCACACCAGTGAGAATGGGAAAAATTAACAAGGCAGGAAACCACAAATGTTGGAGAGGATGCGGAGAAAAGGGAACCCTCTTGCACTGTTGGTGGGAATCTGAACTGGTGCAGCCACTCTGGGAAACTGTGGAGGTTCCTCAAAGAGTTAAAAACAGACCTGCCCTACGACCCAGCAATTGCACTGTTGGGGATTTACCCCAAAGATACAGATGCAATGAAACGCCGGGACACCTGCACCCCGATGTTTCTAGCAGCAATGTCCACAATAGCCAAACTGTGGAAGGAGCCTCGGTGTCCATCGAAAGATGATGGATAAAGAAGCTGTGGTGTATGTATACAATGGAATATTACTCAGCCATTAGAAATGACAAATACCCACCATTTGCTTCAACGTGGATGGAACTGGAGGGTATTATGCTGAGTGAAATAAGTCAATTGGAGAAGGACAAACAGTGTATGTTCTCATTCATTTGGGGAATATAAATAATAGTGAAAGGGAATATAAGGGAAGGGAGAAGAAATGTGTGGGAAATATCAGAAAGAGAGACAGAACATAAAGACTCCTAACTCTGGGAAACGAACTAGGGGTGGTAGAAGAGGAGGAGGGCGGGGGGTGGGAGTGAATGAGTGACGGGCACTGGGGGTTATTCTGTATGTTGGTAAATTGAACACCAATAAAAAATAAATTAAAAAAATACAATCATAATACTAAACCAGAGAGTTAACCAAAACAGATGACCCAGAAACAGTTTCAGCATATCTTAAACCTGGCTTCCGAAATAAATTTATATTAATGAAATCATTAAATGGTACTATAGCAGTTGTTTTACCCTTTGAAAAATATCCACAAGTGTACTAAAGTACAGATGAATCAAAATAAATACTTAACCAAAATTAAGTAGATTGGCATCTAATTTAAATATTTGTTTGAACTCATTGTGGCTAGGCCATTTATTAGATGAATTAAAAAGAAACTGATAGGTACAGACTGAGATCTAGATACATAAAACTTTCTGGGCAAATGCTTTGGTTTCAAACTCTTAAAAAACTGTTGGAATGAGACATTTTATTTGCTATTGCTCATAGCTTACTATTCTAATTAAATGTTATTTTAGAACAAAAAAAATCACTGAAAAAAAAAACCTATCAATGATTTCTTACTGATAATGTATCTACCAATAAATGGGCAAAAGGGAATGTCTCTTCCTTACAGGAGAATCCTCATGGCCAAAGTTGTACAGAGAAGGAAAACTAGGGCTGGACAATCCTTAATTTGCAACTACCATAGTAAAGACTGGTTTAAACAAGAACTAATAATGGATGCTAAATGCAACATGGAAATTTTGATGAGGGTATTTACAAGATTTTATTTTTTATTTCCTTTTTTTAAATTTCTATTTTTAATTTTTTAAATTTACTCATGATAGACAGAGAGAGAGAGAGAGAGAGAGAGAGAGAGAGGCAGAGACACAGGCAGAGGGAGAAGCAGGCTCCATGCCGGGAGCCCGACGTGGGACTGGATCTCAGGATTCCAGGATCATGCCCTGGGCCAAAGGCAAGCACTAAACTGCTGAGCCACCCAGGGATCCCCCTATTTACAAGATTTTAAAGAGTCTCCCCACAGACTGCTTAGAAGAGGAAAAACTACTACATAGTGGAGAAATTGAACATTTTGAGTGAATGATCAAAAGCAGCATCACCAATTAAAGGCAGGTAGACAAAGGATGACTGTGAAAGTGATACCCTGAGAACCTCATCTTGCTTATGGTGGGGATACCCCAAACCTAACCATAAGGAAACATCAGACAAGCCAATATGAAGAACATTCTCATAAGAAAAAAGATAAAGAGCCTCTATTCTCCAAAAATACCAATGTCATAAAGACAAAAACTGAGAAACTGTTCTACATCGAAATAGAATAAAGACGCAGGAGAGTATTATATCAATATTACATTTCCTGAGTTTGATACCTATACTGTGGTTAATAAGACAATGTCCCTGTTCTTAGTGAAAACACACTAGTCTTTAAGGAGCAAAAGAGCATGATGTGTGCAACTTACATTCAAATGGTTCAGAATAAAACATGTCTATATTGGAAGAGAAACAATGATAAAGCAAATGAAGTAAATGTTAATAATTAATGAACATGAGTAAAGGATATGGAACTGCTTTGTATATTCTTGCAAATTCTCTAAGTTTGTAAGAATTTCAACATAAAAAGTTAAAAAAAAAACAAAAAAACACATTCTTACATTTCTCAGTGCTTCATAAATAGCTCTAAATGCTGGTTGCTTATCATCATGGTAAACACCTCTGTTCCCATGAAGAATAAAGATTCCTTCTTCTTCTGCTTCCTGGCAATTGCTTCCATATATACAATGATCTGGTCGATAATTCCATTGACATGGAAAAACGAAAAGGCTTTCTATGTGAAGAAAAATAAAATAATGAAGCAAATAACCCTAATTCTACAGATACAGAATTAACATTCTATAAAACTTTCAGTTTAAAAAACAGCTCTTACAGGAAAAGATTTAAAATAGTGAAAAATATGTTTGGCATTTAGATCCCTTTCTGCAAAAATAGTATTAAGAAAAGTTTAAAAATTAAAAAATGAAAAGTTTTACTCTGTCTTAAACATACAGTGATAATCATTAATATAAGCCAAAATAAATGCATTTCTTCATTTTGACTATATATTATCAATGATTTTTTTTTACAAATGCAAAGAATAAAAGGAATTTAAATGATTACCTGGATTATGAAAAAAGATGATATTCAACAGATCTTGATCCCCCCATGTGATGTTTAGTTTGTATTTTTTAAGCAATGGCATAAGCATATCTCCCCATCGCAGCCGTACAGTTGTCATGTCATTCTGTTGGTAAATACATTAAGAAGATCCTCAGGCTTTCATGTTTAATATGACAGCAAAATGACAGTTCCCCATTCTTCCCTTAGCATTACAGAGCAACAAGAAATGCAAACTTCTTCTGTTATAAAACCAAGTGACTCTAATGTAAACCTAAATGTGACTAGGGCTGTCCATTTGGGAGTAGGGATGATAATAAAAGAAGTTATATCTGAAGCTGCATGCAGAATTGATAAAATTAATAAGTCAGGAAAGAATGGGAAAGAGAAAGCAGGTGATTTTTTAAAGTACTGTGACTGTGATCTCATCCAAAAATGCAGACAGTTTGGGTGCCTATGTCTGTGTCACAGAGTTGTTGTGGGTTCAACTTTTAACATATAAAAAAAAATACATTTGGACAGTACTTGGCACATGGCACATATTCAGTATTTGCTATTACTGTTACCAGGATCACTATAATTCTTAGACTGATTTGCTAATCTTTTATAACTGACATTTCGAAGAGCTTGATTTGAAACTGATAAATCAAAAACAGTGAAATTCATCAAATGCCTTTTCAGCCTCTATAAAGCTGCTCACAGCTCACTGGTTTTGGGGTGGGGGGAGTGTTGTTTTGTTTTTGTGGGCAGCAAAGCAAAGTTTATTGGAAATAGTACAACGCTCCCAAAGAGGGAGAAGACCTGAGAGGGTTGTCCTCAGAGCTCATTATTTTAAAACACAAAATCAAATACCCAAAGAAACAACAGAGTTGAAAGAGGGCTCTGGATCTTATGAATGTGGGTGAGAAGTTGTGGAACTGAATACTAAGACTTTTCAATCCATTTGACTCTTTTAAGTACTTTAGATTTAACTCAATATTCCTCAAAGTGCAGTCTGCATATCAGTGAATTTTTTTAAATCCTTCACAATATTACGTACACAAATCAAGAATAATACTGGGAAACCTTTATAGCAACTCAACAGAACTATCTAATATTTTTCTAGTAACTTACATACGTCCTTTTTACAAAGTATTGACTCATGAAAAACTGCAGATTTAAAAAACAAAATTGACCCTTCATATACAATGAAAGACATTGTTATAAGCTATTCTAGGATATATAATAAACATAATGGGGGTATAAACAACCTATCCTTTAAGAAAGACAAGTCAGAGTTCCTAGGGGAAAAAGCTATATATATTTAAACTAAGTATTATCTGCTATAATTGTATTACCCTTGTGTGAAGTTTCTCAGAACATAGTAAACACAGTAATTATAAAATAATCAGAAATTCCCCCAAAACAATCTGGAAAATGACTGAAAGAAGTTTTACTTAAGGAAATAGTAAGAAAATACTTTACTGAACAGACAACTCTGAAATAAGTCTATTGGCATGTTAACTAAATGTTCTCAGAGTCTGAAAAGGCAACTGAATTGTACAAGGACAAAGACTAGCAACATATTCCATAGACAGAGCTGGCGGACCCGTTGTCCCGTGCCATGTTCAGATCTTCACTAGACTCATTCCATTCAAATATATAAATATATATAAAAGAAGTATACCTATTCAAAGAAAAGTATCAATGAAAGATAAAATTACAAGGTCTAGTACAGCCTTAGGGGAAAAAAATCAAAGAGAAAAATCACCTTTATAAGTTAAAGAAAAAGTCCTACTACCAAAAAATTGGACAAGAAGCAATAACACTAGTATTATATGCTAATTATATAACCTAGAATATCCAAGACAATCAATGAAAAATCTTAAGAAATGAGTCTAGAAAAGAGCCATTACAAAAAAAAAGTCAAACTTTCACTCTTCAGAGATGACATGATAGTCTGTATAGAAAATTCAAAAGATTCCACCAAAAAACTGCTAGAAGTGATGGAGGAATTCAGCAAAGTCATGGGATATAAAATTAACGCACAGAAGTCTGCTGCATTTCTATACACTAACAATGAAGTAGCAGAAAGAAAAATCAAGGACTCAATCCTGTTTACAATTGTACCAAAACCCGTAAGATACACAGGAATAAACCTAACCAAAGAGATGAAAGATCTGTATTCCAAAAACTATAGGACACTGATGAAAGAAATTGAGGAAGACTTAAAGAAATGGAAAAACATTCCATGTTCATGGGCAAATATTGTTAAAATGTCCATACTACTGGGGCACCTGGGTGGCTCATTTAAGCATCTGCCTTCAGCTCAGGTTATGATCCCAGGGTCCTGGGATCAGGCCCCGCACCAGGTTTCCTGCTCAGTGGGAAACCTGTTTCTCCTCTTCCCTCTGCCTGCTGCTCCCCTTGCTTGTAATCTATTTTAAAACAAAAGGGGGGGGGGGGACGACCTGGGCGGTTCAGTGTCTTTGGGTCAGGCTGTGATCCAGGGATCCTGGAATTGAGTCTGACATCAGGCTCCTCACAGGAAGCCTATGTCTTCTGCCTATGTCTCTGCCTATCTCTGTGTGTCTCTCATGAATAAATAAATCTAAAAAAAAAAAAAATTCTTTAAAAATAAAAGTCTATACTACCCAAAGCAACCTACACATTCAATGCAATACCTACCAAAATACCACCATCATTTTTTGCAGAACTGGAAGATACAAGACACAATTCTAAAATTTGTATGAAACCACAAAAGACCCTGAACAGCCAAAGGAATGTTGAGAAATAAAGCAAAGCTGGAGGCATCACGATTCCAGACTCCAAGCTGTACTACAAAACTGTAATCATCAAGATAGTATGGTACTGGCACAAAAAAAAAGACACATAGATCAATGGAACAGAATAGAGAACCCAGAAATGGACCCTCAACTCTATGGTTAACTAATCTTCAACACAGCAGGAAAGAATATTCAATGGAAAAAAGGCAGTCTCTTCAATAAATGGTGCTGGGAAAACTGGACAGCCACATGTAAGAAGAATGAAACTGGACCACTTTCTTGCACCATACACAAAAATAAATTCAAAATGGATCAAAGACCTAAATGTGAGCTAGGAATCCATCAAAATCCTAGAGGAAAACAGAGGAGAACTCTCTGACCTCAGCTGCAGCAACTTCCTGCTAGGCATTGTCTCCAGGGGCAAGGGAAACAAAAGCAAAAATGAACCACTGGGACTTCATCAGGATTGAAAAAGCATTCTGCACAACAAAGGAAACGATCAGCAAAACTAAAAGGCAACCTATGGAATGGGAGAAGATATTCACAAATGATATTATCAGATAAAGGGTTCATATCCAAAATCTATAAAGAACTTATCAAACCCAACACGCAAAAAACAGATAACCCAGTCAACATATGGGCAGAGACATAAACAGATATTTCTCCAAAGAAGACATACAAATGGCTAACAGATGAAAAGATGTTCAACATCACTCATCAAGGAAATACGAATCAAAACCACAATGAGATACCACCTCACACCTGTCAAATGGCTATAATTAACTCAGGAAACAAGGTGTTGGCAAGGATGTGAAGAAAAGGGAACCCTCTTACCCTGTTGGTGGGAATGCAAACTGGTGCAGCCCCTCTGGAAAACAGTATGGAGGTTCCTCAAAGTTAAAAGTAGAATTACCTATGACCCAGTAACTGCACTACTAGGTATTCACCCAAAGGATTCAAAGGGGCACATGTACTCCAATGTTTGTAGCAGCAATGTCCACAATATCCAAAGCTATTGGTTATGTGTGTGTGTGTACTCACACATGTGCATATATGATGGAATATTACTCCTGCCATTTGCAACACGGTGGATGGAATGAAAGGGCATTATGCTAAGCAAAATAAGTCAGTCAAATACCATATGATTTCACTTATAGGAGAAATTTAAGAAAAAGATGAACATAGGGGAAGGGAAAGAAACATAAAAACAGAGTGGGAGGAAAACCATAAGAGACTCTCAACTATAAGGAACAAACTGAGGGTTTCTGGAGGGGAGGGTAGGTGAGGAGGTAACTGCATGATGGGCATGAAGGAGGGCACCTAATATAACGAGCACTGGGTGTTATATGCAACTGATAAATCACTAAATTCTAGGATCCTGGAGTCCCAGGATCAAGTCCCATGTGGGGCTCCCTGCATGGAGCCTGCCTCTCTCTCTGCCTATATCTCTGCCTCTCTGTGTGTGTCTCATGAATAAATAAATAAAATCTTTTTTTTTTAAAAAAGAGGCATTACACATAAAAGTTCAGATTATAGAAAATGTTTTTAAAGTAGAGAAATGGTCAAGGGGAATAGACAAATAGTCATTCACAAAGGAGGAAACAGAAATGGCCAAAAAGTAAGTGAAAATATAGTTTTCCACACTGGTAGTATAGTCAAGAAAGTATAAGTTAAAATATGAGATATTTTCAGCCATATAACTATATGCTCATATTACTACATACAAACAATAAAACCAAATCATTCATTCTCAGTTATCTCATACACATTAAAAATGTGATAGTCTATGTACTGACATAAAGATCAGACAGTTATATATTTACTAAGTAAAAAAAGCAAATGGAAGATGTATTAAAAGAACTTTATATGAAAGTGCTTATGTACATGTATATCTGTTTCAAAATACATTTTTAATGGGTCTGAAAAATATATAGCAAAATTTATAACATTATATGGGCAAAGAAATGAAACTGAGAAGCACAGTATGCAAGGGGAGGCTTTTCTTTTTATTCTACATACAATTCTACATACAAATTTTTATGAGCCTGGTTTTGTTTTGCAATTTAAAAAATTTTTTTAAGTTTATTTAGGTAATCTCACTCAAACTCACAACCCCAAGATCAAGAGCCACATGCTCCCCTGACTGAGCCAGCCAGGTGCCCCTTGTTTTTTGTAATTTTTAAAAAGAAAAATGTAGTTCTAATTTACTAATCTTAGCAAAATGTACATATATTAAAATCTGTTAATTTAAAAAAAAAACAAAATAAAATCAGTTGATTTCATTTTAGAATAATGTATGCTTTTGAAAACAAATATTATTATCATTATCAGTCTAGCTTATACATAAATATAAATGGCTATTTGTAGCATGTTCCAACAATGCTAGAAACTGGGAACTCATCAATTCCCAAAGATTAGTTAACAGCACTATCTCTGAAAAGTTCGATATCTGTTAGTAAGATGCTCATGGATACTGTTCTTATAAGTTATAAAAGTCCTCCACCACATACATTTTGCAAATATATAAAAATAACCATCATGTCTACTTCATGGACATGGAAATGTTCTCTTTTCCAATACCTTTTAATAATGCACTAATGGGGCAGCCCGGGTGGCTCAGCGGTTTAGCGCCGCCTTCAGCCCAGGGCCTGATCCTGGAGACCGGGGATAGAGTCCTACATCGGGCTCCCTGTGTGGAGCCTGCTTCTCTCTCTTCCTGTGTCTCTGCTTCTCTCTCTCTGTCTCTCATGAATAAATACATAAAATCTTAAAAATAAAATAACGTACTATGGTCCAGTTTCTAAAACTTTCATCTATCCTCTGCCAGTAATTATCTATTAAGTTGCTATTTAGGTCATACCCCATTCTAAATATTCCCAATACAAAGTTGTACAAAATATACACCCTGCCCTCGGCAGGTGGAGAAAACAGACAAAACTTACTTTACAAAGTAATATATGGCAGGATGTGAACAGGGTGCAGTAAATATACAAGAAAAAGATTCTCAAGATACCTTATTTAGGGTGCCTGGCTGGTTTAATCAGTAGAGCATGTGACTCTTGATCTCAGGGTTGTGGGTTTGAGCCCACGTTTAGTGTAGCGATAACTTAAAAAGTAAATAAAAACTAAAAAAAAAATTAAAGATGCCTTATTTATAGTCTTTGGTTTCCCCTAATAAATAGAAAACGGTTAAGAAATAACCTAATAGGGATTCAATACTGCAAATACAATCGTAACAAAATACAAAGCAATAGTTTAACCACTACTATAGGATTATCTACCAAGCATAATGAGAAACAACAAAAAAGTAGAATTTTTACAATTTTGGTTTTATACATATATATATATATTTCAGATATATATATATATATATATATATATATATAATACATCAGGTTGGAAATGAACTGTCATGAATGGTAGGGACTGGGTGACAACAAAGCAAATGAAGAATTTAAAATATGGCCATTCTCTTAAATGGGTAGTCTTACAGCTTTTTATGAAATAGGAACCATGGGGCAACATTCACAGATGTGTAGGAAGCAGTTTAGAAAGTTACTATACGTAATCAGTTATACCACTAGAGCCAGAAACTGTTGCATTAGTAGGAAAAAAACAAGGCAATGTTTGCTATAGTCTGGAAAACAATCAGGAAAAACAAAAACATACATATGAAAAAAGGAATCAAAACTAAATTTCATAGAAACATTTCAGCAATCATAAATATAGTAATATTTGAAAACAAAGCAAATCTGTGTTGTTCCCACTGGGCAAGGACAGGATTGTTTGGAATACAGGGATAGTAGGTGTGAAGTAAACTGCACCTCTGAATTAATGTATAACCATGCCTCTCACAGTCTCCTTCATTAAATCTATCATGCACAGATGAAAACAGAAGTTTGAAAAGTTTAGAAATGATTTCAACTCTCATATCTAGGTCTCTAGTTGATTTAAGGAACATGCCATGACCAAAAAAAGTAAAAAAGGGGAGGGGACAAACTGTTGAAGTATTTAAGAATGACTTTTTAAGAGTGACATTTAAATAATAAAAGATAATCATAGATTTGAACGAGAGTTGTAATTTTGAAATGTTTAAAAAACAATATAGTGTTACTATTGTTATTTAGTGTTACTAAATTATCTCTAAGGTTCTCTGCAACAGTAAACTTCTCATAATTCTATGAATTTCGAATGAAGAGTTACTGAGAAGTAACATTATTCTTTAGCAAGTAATCTTACAGCACCATCTTCTGGTATAATATTACTGTGCATAGACTAACAAACAGAAAAGGAAGAATTCATGGTATTATGCCTGTTTTATTTAGTAGAACTTTATGATACATGAAATTTTAAACCTCAAGTTATATTAACAAACTGGATAGTTAAAGAAATGCTTACTGTTAAGCAAGAGCTCAGATTACACTAACCTCATTAATGCATTCAACTGTAGGAGACAAAATTAAAATTAAATCAAGATTTCAAAAAGGTTCAGAATATGAGAAGGCTAAAAAAAAACAAAAAAAAAAACAAAAAACTAGGTTTACTAGATCTATAGAAAGTAAGAATGATGAGTACAAACAATCCTAAGACAAATGTCAATGCGTGGGTATGGCTGCAAATAGTAGTGTTGCCTACCCCAAAGATAAGTCAAGGAAACAGCTCTAAATGAGGTCAAGATTTAAATGAGACACACAAAAAGAATAAATAATGGTGTAAAGTCTGGTCTACCAGAAGCCATAAGAAAAATATCTGACAAATATGTATCCATACATACACACATACAAACATGTATTTTCATATCATAGAAGATGTAATATCCCTTAATGTTCAATATGGCCTAACTAGATGTAGAGGGATAAACAGCAAGTCTATAGAAGTGTTTCAGAAATCACTGTTTTTAGCTAATATTTAAGTGCTTACTAGGTGTCATGCTCTGCATGAAGCACTTTATATTTTATATTTTAATTCCAGTATATTATACCATACAATGTTGTATTAGTTTCAAGTATTCAATATAGTGATTCAACAATTCTATACATTACCCAGTGCTCATCATGGGAAGTGTACTTTTTAATACCCATCACCTATTTCACCCATCCCTCCACCCACCACCCCTCCGATAACCATCAGTTTGTTCTCTATAGTTAAGAGTCTGTTTCTTGGTTTCTTTTTTCTTTGTTCATTTGTTTCTTAAATTCCAGAAATATGCAAATATATAAAAATAACTGGGTTCCCGGTTATTTCACTTAGAAATAAGTGAAATCATATAGTATTGGTCTTTCTCTGACTTATTTCACTTAGCATTATACTCTCTAGATCCACCCGTGTTATTGCAAATCACAAGGTTCCATTCCTTTTTATGACTAATATTTCACTGTATGTATACGTGTACACATACACACCATGTCGTCTTTATCCATTCATTGGGGGAACTTCATACTGTTTTCCATAGTGGCTGCACCAGTATGCATTCCCACCAACACTATATAAGGATTCCTTTTTCTCCACATTCTCACCAACACTTATTTTTTGTGTTGTTGATTTTAGCCATTCAGACAGGTATGAAGTGGTATCTTTGTTGCTTAGATTTGCATTTCCCTGACAATGAGTGATGTTGAACATCTTTTCATGTGTCTGTTGGCCATCTGAATATCTACTTTGGAACAATGTCTGTCCATGTTTTCTGACCATAATTTTTAATTGAATTGTTTTTTAGATGTTGAGTTGCATAAGTATATATTTTGGATACTAACTTTATCGTATATGTCATTGGCAAGTATCTTCTTCCATTCAGTAGGTTGTCTTTTAGTTTTGTTGATGGTTTCCTTTGCTGCGCAGGTTTTAATTTTGATTTAGTCTCAAGAGTTTATTTCTGCTTTTGTTTTCCTTGCCTCAGGAGACTTATCTAGAAAAATGCTGTTACAGCTGATGTCAGAGAAATTACTGCTGTGCTCTCCTCTAGGATTTTTATGGTTTCAGGTCTCACATTTAGGTCTTTAATCCATTTTGAGTTTATTTTTGTGTATGGTATGAGAAAGTGGTCCAGTTTTCCCAGCATCATTTGTTGAAAAGATGTACTAAGTATTTTAAACAGATCTCCTTTAAACTGACAACCTATGTAAGTCCATTCATCATCTATTTTTCAGTTGAGAGAACTGACATTTAAAGTTAAGTGGCTAGTGGTTAAATAAATGCACAGGTGGAAAGGTTAAACATAAAGACAGTTTGACTCTAGTGTCTACAAACTACAATGAAACAAAACTCATCAACATAAAATTGGTAAACAATACAGCATATTCCTGCATTCAGAATGCACACAGAATCTAAACAGCCTGATTCTTCCACTGACCCACAATTTGTGAGATAAGAAACATGCAAGAATTTTTTTTTGAAAGATTTTATTTATTTATTTGAGAGAGGGAGAGAAAGAGAACCCAAGTGGGAGAGAGAGGCAGAGGAAAAGGGAAAAGCCGGCTCCTCCCTGAGCAGGGAACCCAACACAGGGCTGGCTGGATCCCAGGTCCATGAAATCATGACCAGAGATGAAGGCAGACACTTAACTGACTAAGCCACCCAGGCGCCCCAGGAATTTAAGCTAATTTCCAATAGCTTCAAACAGCTCACATTTATGTGTTAGCCACTGTTCTAATTCAATCCTTATAAAAGTCCTAAGATACAGGTAATGTTATCTACCATCCTCATCTCACAGATGAGAAAACTAAAGCCCAGAGATATTAAAAACTTACTAAAGGTCACAGAGTCTTGAACCAGGCCAACAGGTCCAGACAGTCTTAAGCTTTTCACATCTCTGTGTTCCCCCAGGATGTTCTACAGTCGCACAACTACACAATGACAACTAATACCTAGAATAACAATCTAGAAAGATGATGCTCACTACTTTGTGCATTGTACTTCATTATAATGACATCTGGCTTGATCTACCATAATGCTTCAATAAGCAGAACATTAAAAACATACTTTTCCTCAATTATTCTAAATAAGTGGAAAAATTCTAAATAGATTAATCTAGTTCTTACCAAAACAAAGCTAAATTGGAAACCAAACAATTTGTGGAAGGAAAATAGAGAAACGTTAACCAACTACCTGTATCAGTGACTTACCTTGAAATACTTCCTTCTCATTCTAGTCATGTTCATCAACATAACTCCAGAGTTTACTCCAGTTTTTCCATAATACGGATGTCTTGCAAAACGATTATACCATCCTATTCGAGGCTCTTCATGTTCTGGTGCCATTGCAGCAATTTGTGTGGAATTAAATTTCTTTAGTAAAGACCAAATATCATCGACGGGCCGTAAAAAAAGGATATCAGTGTCGACATACAATAATGAGTCAACTTCTTTCAGGATTAACTATGAGAAGAAATATTTGAAACATACATTATAATTCTAATTTAGTTGTAAAAGAAATCCTATGAGATAAGCTAATTTACATTAGTTTTTTTTTAAGTAATTTTTCTTAAATCTTTTTTTTACAAGGGTATTATACAGAAATACTATGCTAATCTTTGTATTAACTTTCAGAGAACAAAAGCTATAAAAACAAATCAGAGGGATCCCTGGGTGGTGCAGCGGTTTGGCGCCTGCCTTTGGCCCAGGGCGTGATCCTGGAGACCCGGGATCAAATCCCACGTCGGGCTCCCGGTGCGTGGAGCCTGCTTCTCCCTCTGCCTGTGTCTCTGCCTCTCTCACTCTCTCTCTCTGTGACTATCATAAATAAATAAAAATTAAAAAAAATATTTAAAAACAAAAAAAAAACAAATCAGAACAAAAACCTAAACACTAACAACTAGAAATATTACAAAAAGCAATGTCCTCAAAGATTAGAGGAAATGTTTTTCAAATGGAAAATAACATTAACTTAGCTGAATTTATATCCTGAATCTTAATTTCCTAAAACAAGTACAGAAATAAACCAATACAAAGATCTTCTGCATTTATTCCTTCGGCCTGTAACACAGCTGGCACCTCTCTATCACTTTGGTCTCCACTAGTAAACACAGCCAAAATTGGAACCCAGACCACCTTGCTCTGGAGTCCACAGTTTTACTTCCGTGCTTACTGTCTCCAACAAATCAAAGTAAATGTGCACACACTTAGCAAGGGTGAAGACAAGACAACGTCTTGAAAGAAGGACTGGCTAGGTTATTACTTTCTGAGAGAGATTAAATGTGTCCTCTGCAAGGGTTTTTTGAGGAAAACTTTTTATTTCTGCCTTATCCACGAAATTTAGACCCCCAACTCCTGCAAATTTAAGTTTACTGCATGTATCACAACTCAATTATTAGATTAACCTAAATCTTTTCAGTTAAGAATATAAAGAGTTTGATCCTTGTTCTACTCCTTTTCAAAGATGTTGCCTCCTCCTTCTGTTAAGGTTAAGTCATCACCTTAATGAGCAGCTACAAGGCTACAATCACCCCATTCCTCCCACCATGTGGGAAAAAATGTGATGGTTTGACTACAGAGCCTGAGTAGGGAAAATTCACTTGTTTAAAGACTCTGATTATAGGCTATGTATAAGTATGTCTTTTTTTTTTTTTTTATGATAGTCACACAGAGAGAGAGAGAGAGGCAGAGACACAGGCAGAGGGAGAAGCAGACTCCATGCACCGGGAGCCTGACGTGGGATTCGATCCCGGGTCTCCAGGATCGCGCCCTGGGCCAAAGGCAGGCGCTAAACCGCTGCGCCACCCAGGGATCCCTATGAGTATGTCTTTATGTCTCTCTCTCTTTGGGGAGCAGAAGAGTGAGGGAAATTCTTATTTATCAACATGCTGTTCCTGTACCACGAAACAATGTGTGTTTATAGATTATTACATCGTTAGCAGACTTGGAAAATACTGTTCACTGTCAGGAGCCCTGGTAAACTGGAGATCAGACAAAAGGTTAAGTAATAACCATGTCAGTATTTTTTCTATGGTTCCTTCCTTTTGGAGGAGGAAGGAGTTGGTAGAACTTACATTAGTTGTTTTCGTCAATCTATTTCAAAGCAAGAGAAGCTCAGTAAAAAAATTATGTAGAAAAATATAACACCCATTTACTTAAATCTGGCTAAAAAGATGTGGAAGTAACAGTGAAATATGAGGACAATTGGACAGGTTCAAGTATTCATTTTAGTGTTTCAAATTCCATTTAGGAATTTAGCCAGATTACATCACTAAATGATCTGGAAAATTTCATATCACAACACCAACAATTAAACTTGTTAATAATGCAGAACAAAATGGAAGAGAAATGGTTGTAACCTTAGGCTTCTAGCATCACGTATTGTTTTTTCAGTAACATATTTGTTTATTAAATGTCATACTGTATTTGTTTAATCCGTTCCTCCCACATCAGACAATAAACTCTATGAAAAAAAGGAAAACTGTCTGTTCATTTATTCCTATATATCCAGAACCTCAGTACAGATTCTCAGCAGAAAATAGGCACTCAATTTATTAATTAAATGAAATGTGATACTATAATGATTCAACATAAAAATTTTGTTTTAGGGGATCCCTGGGTGGCTCAACGGTTTAGCACCTGCCTTTGGCCCAGGGCACGATCCTGGAGTCCTGGGATCGAGTCCGACGTCGGGCTCCTGGCATGGAGCCTGCTTTTCCCTATGCCTGTGTCTCTGCCTCTCTCTATGTCTATCATAAATAAATAAATAAATCTTTAAAAAAAAATTTTTTTTTTGTTTTAAATTTATAAAGTCTAGGGATGCCTATGTAGCTCAGTGGTTCAGCATCTACCTTTGGCACAGGGTGTGATCCCAGGTCCTGGGATTGAGTCCCTCATTAGGCTCCCCATGGGGAAGCCTGCTTCTCCCTCTGCCTATGTCTCTGCTTCTCTCTCTCTCTGTGTCTCTCATGAATAAATAAATAAAATCTTTAAAAAAAATTTTTTTGACTTACAAAGTCTGCATAAAATATCTAAAAGTTCTCAGGCCTTTTTTTTCTACCTTAATCCCTTATTTGCATGCCCCTTACAATAGAAGCAGAGACTGAGGGATCCCTGGGTGGCGCAGCGGTTTGGCGCCTGCCTTTGGCCCAGGGCGTGATCCTGGAGACCCGGGATCGAATCCCACATCGGGCTCCCGGTGCATGGAGCCTGCTTCTCCCTCTGCCTGTGTCTCTGCCTCTCTCTCTCTCTCTCTGTGACTATCATAAATAAATAAAAATTTAAAAAAAAAAAAAAAAAAGAAGCAGAGACTGAGAAAGATCCTAGGATCTAAATTTTTTATGCATGGCAACAAAGAAACTGGTTAAGCAGACTCAGTGATCAAAATTACAACTTTAAGTCTTACTGATGACCTGGACTCAGTAAATTATATTTTTTTAAAAAAGATTTTATGTATTTATTCATGACAAATGAAAGAGGTAGGTAGAAAGAGAAGCCGGTTCCCCGTGCAGAGCCTGATGCTGGACTCCATACTAGGACTCCAGGATCACGACCTGAGCCAAAGGCAGATGCTCAACCACTGAGCCACCCAGGCGCCCCAAGTAAATTATATTCTTAATATGCTAAGAATGGCCTTATTCCACTTAAGAATAACAAGTAACTAAAGTTTCTTCTCCCATAATTCATACACTTTCCACAAACTTGTGAGCTTCTTATATTTAGTATTTCTACTACTATAACTTTTATAAACACGATAGTCATCTTAACAATTACTGTGAATTTTAAAACTGTGGATGAAATCAACTCAAAATAAAGAGGTAATCTTGCTTATGAATAGTTTTAGATTTTTAAAAAATGATCAGGTTTATCACCAGAGAACACTACCAAAAAAAGAGCTCCACTGAATAAATGGTTCCCATTTCCCTTTGAGTTCACATGTTTAAATTTGTGTCTGTGTTAAAATATAATGTGGAAAGGGTAATGTGGCTTGGAATAAGACAGAAATGGCTGTTTAATGATACAATCTACTTCACTTCCAAATTATAAATACAATGAGCCAGGAGAAGGTGATATTGCCACTGTATTTCTGCTAGCAACAGGCCTGGCTTCAGTAAGATCTGATGACCTCTATTCCTTCTCAGAAATAAAACCATTTACAGCACCTGAATAAATTAAAATATAAGATATAGTATTTCAACAGAAATTACTTACATTATTCATTTTTAACAGATGTTTTCTTTGTAGCTTTTATTTGTTCTACTGGAAGTATTTTCCTAATGTTCAAAGGGAAAATCTACATGCGTGTTTATTTAACTCATTTATATGTAACTCTTCATTAACTCGTGTGTAAAAGCAAAATTAGAAAATAAAAAACCACTAGAGAAAAAACTTACTGGCAAGAATAATCTCTGGGAAGCACACGGTTTAAAGAGCTTTTTCCACTCCAACGCATTCTCACTTGGAAAAGTTATTGGGTATAATGAATAATTAAATGTCTGTAGAAATGACCAGCTATCAAGCTAAAAAAAAAAATAAATACTCAGTTTAGATTGTTCTTTCAATTGTCTCTGTAAATTCATAAACAGATTATTCTAAAAAGCTAAAAATTAAAATATATATTATGCTGTACACAGTTAAAGTCAGATTCTTCTTTCCCACCATTTGTTCTCATTCAAAATCTTAAAATCATAGTAATATTCTTGCAAAACTCCACAATAGGGATCAGAGGCACAATGAAAGTAAACCACCACAAAATCAGAAAGCTGAAAGCCTCACAAGTCGTTCATCAACCTCATGTTTACCTGATGTATAAATCCTATCAATTCCTAAACAAATTAAACTCAGAAAAATTAACTAATTTTATTACCAAAGTATGTATAATAGAAAATATAATAGAAAATATAATAGAAAATGTTTACACTCAAAGTCAGACCTACTGAAAATATTCGTCTAGGGCAGCCCGGATGGCTCAGCGGTTTGGCGCCGCCTTCAGCCCAGGGCCTGATCCTGAAGACCCTGGATCAAGTCCCACATCGGGCTCCCTGCATGGAGCCTGCATGGAGCCTGCTTCTCCCTCTGCTTGCATCTCTGCCTCTCTCTCTCTCTCTGTGTGTGTGTCTCTCATGAATAAATAAATAAAATCTTTTTAAAAAATTGTCTATCTATATAGTTTTAATATGCATGGATATTATTTCTGATAATAAAGTACTCCGATAAACATGTATCAATGTCAAATTTTGAAAAACTCATTACAAAAAGCACAAAGATCTGAAAATCTATTATGAAAATGTTTACTTTTCATGCATTTCAAGACACTAAATTCAAATTCAGTTTAAGTATTACCCATCAACAGAATTGTTGATTCAAGTTTCCTAGAGAGCATTCACAGTATATAAGGGGATGGGGCACCTGAGTGGCTCAGTTAAGTGTCTGACTTTTTTTTTTTTTCATAAAGAATTTTTATTTATTTGAGAGAGAGAGAGAGAACACAGAGCTAGTGAGAACACAAATGGTGGGGAAGGGAAGAAGGAGAAGCAGGCTCCCGGCTGCACAGGGATCCTGACGTGGGGCTTAGTCCCATGACCTGGGATCATGACCTGAGCTGAAGGCAGATGCTTAATCGACTGAGCCACCCAGGTGCCCCAGGTGTCAGATTCTTAATTTTGACTCAGGTCATGATCTCAAAGTCATGAGATCAAGCCCCACATGGAGCTCTGAGCTGAGCACAGAGCTTGCTTTAGAGTCTATCTCTCTTCCTTTGCCCTTCATCAGTTTACAATGGCTAAATAATTAAATAAATAGTTAAAAAACAAATAAAAAATTTTTTAATTTAAAAAACAATATACAGGGGAAGAAAAACTAAGTTGTCTATGTAATAGGTTGAAGATGCTCTCTTCTTAAATTATGACTCGGTTTAAGTAATTTTTAAAAACATTAATGCCTCCCAACATAGTTTAAGGGAATACTTTTAACTCTAACATTCTGCTTTGATGTCTCTGTTAATTACTTTGAAGCACTAGCATTTTATTTTCCCTGCACAACATATATCACTTAAAGATACTTTGAATATCAACTTCTAAAGAGACATTTTTTCCTTAACATTCTAATATTTAGTCATTTCTTGCAGTAAAAGCACATCCAACTAGTATTTGATACTTCATCAAAAGCAAAACCAAACATTCTCAGAACTGACTGTAATAGTTAAAAACTAAGTTTAAAAATACAGTATACATTGAGGCACTTGGGTGGTTCAGTCAGTTGGGCATGTGACTCTTGGTTTTCAGCTCAGATCATTATCTCACGGGTTTTGAGGCCCTCATAAAGCTCTGCACTCAGTGGGTAGTCTGCGTGAGGATTCTTTCCCTCTGCCCCTCCCCCTCAAATAAATACATAGATAAATCTTTTTAAAAAGTATAGTATATATTACACAAGCAGTCAGATTTGAATACAACACTGAGGTTGCATTTAATATGAAACAATAAATTTATTTTTTTATTACACTTCCAAAGATTTCCACAGTTCATAGCAATCTGTTGCTATTTTCTAAACTGTTAAGACAAAGTTAATTCCTCAATTAATATTTTAGAAAACAATCCAAAGAGGTCAAGATCACAAAAAAACGTATCAAAAATATGGACATAGAGGCACCTGGCTGGCTCAGTAGAGCATGCAACTCTTTATATCATAGTTTAAGTTTGAGCCCCATGTTGGGTGTAGAGATTACTGAAAAATAAAACCTTTAAAAAAAAATACGGACAGAAATATTTTAAAACAGTAAGTAAGGCTTTATATCGCTTACAAAAATTTTGTTAGAAAACTAAAATACTTGAAATTATAAGTAGTATTTTTCACTCAATATTTTGAACCACTTTAACTTGAGAAAATATCAAATACATGTTTTTCAAAAAAAAAATACATGTTTTTCTACATAGTTAGACCAAACATAAAAACCAAATCAGTTTGAAAACTTAATTTAGTGTACAAAGAGATATAAACAGAAATAGTGGGGAGGGGAGTAATCATGATCATCATCTTTACAACTGCCTCAGAACACAAGGTAGTGAGATTTCAGGTAAAATTTCTTTTTCTATATATTCTTCTCCCATATCTATCTGTTCAACTCTTCTTGCATAGTAACAATTTTTTTGTTAAGGAGGTTACATGGCTATACTGATTAAAGAGTATATTTTTAAACCTCAAAAACGGTATGGTTACCTAAGTTCAGATCAGTGAGATATTGAGAAGAACATCATATGCAATGTCTGGAAAATATTCCTAGAGCATAGAAAGGGATTGGCCTTCTTCACTCCTTTTTCCTTTGCGTTGGCTAAAATATGGGCATGAGGGTTGAAGAGTGAGTAGCCACCTTGGACCATGAAGAAGTCTTACATTAAAATGGCTCAGCCACAAGACAGAAGCCAGAATCCCTGAAGACATGGAGCTACCATATACCACAGACTGCCTACTCTGATGTGTGAGAGAAATAAATTTCTACCTTGTTTAAGCCAATATTAGTTTGGGTTTTCTGCCAATATGACCAAACTGATTGTAACTAATATAAAACCAAAATAAAGAACTTTCTTATCAAAACAAGAAGCCACTTCCCTCCATACTGTCAATCAAGAGCTCCCTCCCCTGAAAACAATTAAAATCTTTGTGCACACTTTGTTGGAGGCATTCTCAAGGCAAGGATGGGAATAAAATTAAGGCATAGGACCTTCTTAGTCAAATCATACTGGAGCTATAGCCAGTGAAATAAAACCTCCATGCTTGGCAAAGCAACCTACTTCTTTTCAAAAACAAACCTTCCTCTTACACCCTAGATCTAGGCTCTTAGATGGAGTGGCAGCCCAACTCTAAGAGGGCAGTTAGTTACTAAGTAAATATTTTTGTTCAGTGAAGGAATAAAACAACATTCTATGACAGTATGCCATTAAATATTTACCTCTATAGTCTTGACAAAGTTTCAAATACTTACTATGCCTTTAAAACTATCATGTAGTTGATCTTCAGCAAAAATATGGAACTGAAGAGGTCTGATGCTGAAAATGATAGCCGACTTCAACATGGTTATAGTTTCTTCCAGTCTTTCACCACAGGCAACAACAGCGAGGTGCATTCTCTGAATGGGCTGCACTTTCAGACTATACCTAATAGAAAAGAAAACCACATTTTCCAACAGTTTTATTAGTACAGGGTAACAAGTTAACAACATGGTATTCTAATGATGTTCAAAAACAAGTTCAGGGGTGCCCGCCCACATCAGGCTCCCTGCAAGGAGCCTGCTTCTCCCTCTGCCTATGTCTCTGCCTCTCTCATGAATGAATGAATAAATAAATAAATAAATAAATCTTTAAAAAAAAACACTAAGGTTCAGGATTTCTACTTAAAAGGCAAAGAAGTATTAAATTACAAACAGTACAATGTTGAATCAATTATTTATTTCTTGTATCCTCAACCAGCCTTTCTCAGCCAATGTTCCTCACTAGGAACCATAAAAAAAATTACTGCTTTCTCAATTCTCCCAAGAATAGCACATAACTAGCACCATTCTAGGTATACAGTAGAGAAGTTAATTCATTACTCAGATCAGATGCATTAGGACTTAATTCTCTCAAGGAACCCCCCAGATGACAAGGGTGTATCACCAATGGAACATCTTCAATTATTTTTTAGCTTTTTTATTTAAAAAAAAAATGTCAAAAGCATATTAAGTAGAGAGAATAGGGGCACTTGGGTGGCTCAGCTGATTAAGCATCTGCCATGATCCCAGGGATAGAGCCCTGCGTCACAGGGCTCTCTGCTCAGTGGGGAGCCTGCTTCTCCCTCTGTTCTCTGCTCCTCCCTCTTACTCATGCGCTTTCTCTCAAATAAAAAAAAAAAATCTTTAAAAAAATAATAAAATAGAATAAATCTCCATGTACCTATCTCCTAACTGCTACAATTATCCAAAGGTATTCTTATTTGAACTAAAATCCCTCTCCAGGGACGCCTGAGTGGCTCAGTGGTTGGGTGCCTGCCTTTGGCTCAGGTCATGATCCAGGGATCCAGGACTGAGTCCTGAATTGGGCTCCCGCGAGGAGCCTGCTTCTCCTCTCCCTCTAACTATGTCTCTGCCTCTCTCTCCTTGTGTCTCTCATGAATAAATAAATAAATCTTTAAAAAAATAAAATCCCTCTCCACATCCCCTTCCACTAGCCAACAGATCATTTTTGAAGCCAGACATAAATTCATCCACAAATTTTTGAGTATTATATTCAATCTTTAACCATATTAGTTATAGGGAAAAGTATCCTTCACATAACTTTTTCACTGATATGCATTCAGCTCCATTTGCTAAATAATCAGTGAGAGGTAAAAATTTCTGAGATGATCTAAAACATACTAGGTAAACATCAGTATGACATTTTGGAAGGAAAAATTCCCTAACCCCAAGTTATTGGCCTAGGCTATGTCAGATCCTACTTCTAATACAGAGCAGCCGTGCAAAGCAGGCTTAAGGAACCTTTCAAAACTCTTGCACCTTAATAGTGAACTAATAATAATCCACTAGAATATAAAGAACAGAATTAATTATGTGTGACTACATTGTTATTAAAATAACCTATTTATTATATTAAATTCAGATCTTATCTGTAATTATGGCATAAAATAATTGTTTTGGAACTGACAGCTAAAGGAATGGAAGAATGCAAGACAACATAGAAAAAAAACTAATAATATTCAAGTATCTTAAAGTACAAACACTCTAAATTAAAAACATAAACTCTGGGCAGCCCTAGTGGCGCAGCAGTTTAGCGCCGCCTGCAGCCCAGGGTGTGATCCTGGAGACCGGGGATGGAGTCCCATGTCGGGCTCCCCGCGTGGAGCCTGCTTCTCCCTCTGCCTGTGTCTCTGCCTCTGTCTCTCTCTGTGTCTCTCATGAATGAATAAATAAAATATTTTTAAAAAATAAAATAAACTCTGACTTTAATTCTTGCTTACAGAGAGCCTTTCTATAAGGATTAGAAATTATATTAACAGTTACATATACATATATATGTTACTGAGAATTACAATAGCAGGAATGAGTGGTTAATCATTTCTTATATTTGCAAGCTATAAAATCAACTGTAGTTCCTTAATATAGATTGCAAGTTCCTTTGCAATCTTGAGTATTCACATGTCCATGTATTAAAGTGAAACAGAACTATTTTCTGAGGAAAATCTTATTCTTGTTCACAGGTAATCCCTCAACTGGGGTATCAGAAAACAAAATCATACTAAGGAATAACATTAAATACAAACAATCGACTAAATAAAACACACCTGAATGCCAAATTTATAGATCTTAATGTTTTGACATTAAACATGTGTAATTATTTTATATTATTAGGTTAAAAAAATCAAGTCGGGATATATATAATGTGCTCCTGCTCTTACTGCAGATCCCTTCCTATTAACAAGTCTGTTTTGCTAAGAGCCTAGAAATACTATTAAGATAGCAGTCTGAAACATGCTTTTCTGGTCTGACCAGGTTCCTAAGGCCTGAAAACAGGGTCACTTCTCCTACATGGGACATTTCTCACTTATGTGAGTACTGGCAACTGTCAGCCTTCCAGAGGAGAGCTGAAAAGCTCTTGAATCCAAATACTTACCTTCTACAAAATACAGGGGTCATTTCCTCCCTGATCCCTCTACTGGGAGGATGAAACTTAAACTCAATAACTTAGTAACTCACCCTTTGTTCAGGCGAATGAGCAAATGATTCTATAAATGAGGTTCTTTAAAACATTAAAACAGTTTTTAAGAAAAAGAAACCTCCCCCAGTTAATTCACCAAGTTAAACATTATTACATTACCGTCAATAGTATTACATGAGGAAGTCACATATAAAGTATTCTTACAAGAATCATTATTTACTAAACCAGAAATAGTGGTGATATTTCATTCAAGGTTAAGATGATCATTAATATACGGCGTGAGGTACGTACTTTGCTTTCAAATTTGTATTCATCTACCAGGAATTAAATTTCATGAATCATCTGAAGCAGGGAACAATAGTGTAATTTTGCACATGGCTATCTAATTGTGCAAACATTTATTTCAGACTTAACACAGTTTATCCTTTCCTCACAACACCTGCTGTGCCACTTCCTTCACATAGATAGTGTTAGCAATATCTTATGTCTTTTTAAAGCTCTGTTCTTTTCCACTGTCAGCAATTAGAAAGAAGTAGTAGCTCCTCCCTTGGCAGCACCCTCTGTTTCCCTCTTTTCTGTTAGTCCCTTAGTTTATAACACTTAAATACTATCTGAGTGGAGACTAGCTACACCCTCTATACCTAGAACAAGGTGATGTGCACCCAGTTCATCTCAAAGCAGTGGAAGTCACAATGATAACAGTAAAAGAAAGACAAGGCAATCAAAACACACAACAATTTCACAGAGCTCTAAATTATCTCATCTTTCAGGTAAATGCTTCCATACTTTAGAATTGACAATAGGCTTGGATTGCTTAACTGATCATAACTAGATCCGGTCTCAAAGCTAAAAGCCCAAAGATTTAAAAAGTTAAGCCAGAATAGTCATGTGCTGTTTTGCACAGATTTCTCTACACACACAAACAAGAAGTATAATAAAACTTTAATATAACTTAATAAAACTTTCTTAAGAAAGTTTATTTTCTTATTTCTTAAGAAAATAAATGAAATGTTCTTCAAGTTAAAAAAAAAAAATCCCTCTAAAATCAGTACCAGGGATGACTGTTCCCAAGCATTTTAACAAGACTTGTGTTAGTCACACTGCCAGCACCTCCTCCATCAATTTCTATGGAAGGAATATTATCAACTACATTACATTTGCTTTTGGTTATGTGTCCATTTTTAGCAAAAGCATTATATACAGTATAGACTCTAACACCTAAAATGATAAATCATACTTTAAAGATGTCATTGCCTACCACCCTGTCCCTAGTCCCCAAGAACAGGAATAACTGCAACTCAAAAAAATCTAAAGTAACCTTCCACCACTAGAGGAAGGGAGAACTAAAACCTTCTAATAAGGTATAGGGAAGCAGCAGCCATTCAAGTAGTTTTGGTCCCAAAATGATATAAATCTGGAATGACATAATCTTGTCTGTAAAAATGTGCTATATTTTAATCACATTGTGAATAAGAGAAAAGTCTCTGTGGATTTAAAGAAGTATTATCCAAAAGGTCATTTTTAAGTCAAACCTATTTTTCTAGAGATATATGATTAGATGAAATTCTACAGGTAATTCAAACATAATACTTGAGTGCTTTCATGGCTAAATATGGCATAACCTGAGTATCAATAGGAATTATGACTGTAATGAATGATAACACATAAAAGAAAATGAATCCATCAGTCTAGAAAGATACTAGAAGAAGGGGTTGAGGGGAGGGGGGAATCCTTCTTTAAAAACAAATATCAAGGGATCCCTGGGTGGCTCAGTGGTTTAGTGTCTGCCTTTGGCCCAGGGCGTGATCCTGGAGTCCCAGGATCGAGTCCCGCATCAGGCTCCCTGCATGGAGCCTGCTTCTCCCTCTGCCTGTGTCTCTGCCTCTCTCTCGCTCTCTCGTGAATAAATAATTTTTTTTAAAAAAAAAAAGAGTATTTTGGGGGATCCCTGGGTGGCTCAGCGGTTTAGCACCACCTTCGGCCCATGGTGTGATCCTGGGGACCCAGGATCAAGTCCCACATCGGGCTCCCTGCATGGAGCCTGCTTCTCTCTCTGCCTGTGTCTCTGCCTCTCTCCCTCTCTCTCTGTCTCTCATTAATAAATAAAATCTTTTAAAAAAAGTATTTTAGACGATAAATTCTAATACAAACACTATTAACAGATTTCTAAAACTCACGAATACACTTATATTTTTTAATATATTTTTTAAGGATTTTATTTATTCATGAAAGACACAGAGAGAGAGAGAGGCAGAGACACAGGCAGAGGGAGAAGCAGGCTCCATGCAGGGAGCCCGATGTAGGACTAGATCCCGTGTCTCCAGGATCACACCCTGGGCTGCAGGTGGCGCTAAACCGCTGCGCCACCGGGGCTGCCCCAGGAATACACTTATTTTAAGTAACATTTCTGTTATGAAGAAATCCTAATAATTTGTCTTTTTTTTTATTTAGACAGCACAAAAAGCTTTCAGGGTGTTCTTCAGCCTAGTGCTCTTCCTATAAAAGAAAACAATGTATAATAATATTCAGACCAAGAATTAGTATTATAAAGAAGTATGCAAAGTCCAACTAACCAATTAAATTTGTGATAATCTCAACTAAAAATTGTTATGAACCATTTTTAAAAACTGTCAGTTGAACAAAATGGAAAACTATATTCAGAAACATTAACGGCAATTCCTTTTATGTATAGCTTAAAAACAAAATGTTTTTCCTCTCACTATAAAAAAAAAGTGTTGAGTTATCATACTAGGTTAAAAACTAAAGAGTTGTATATGATCACTTTTGAAACAAAATACAATACTTGAAAAAATCTTTAGGATTTTATATATAGCATAAAAAAGAAAATCTAAAAATCTAACATGAAATATAAGTACTAATTGCTAAAACATATTTTTAAATAATCTACACAGGGACATTCGGGCGGCTCAAAAGTTGAGCATCTGCCTTTGGCTCAGGGCATGACCCCGGAGTACCCGGATCAAGTCCCACATCGGACTCCTTGCATGGAGCCTGTTTCTTCTCCCTCTGCCTGCGTCTCTGCTTCTCTCTGTCTCTCTCATGAATACATAAATAAAATCTTTTAAAAATAAATAAATAATCTACACAAGTATAGCTCTAAAAACTAGCATGAACCACTCAAAGTAACACATGTAACATTAAATTCATCTGTACATGAACCACTCAAAGTAACACATGTAACATTAAATTCATCTGTAATCAGGGGTTCCATAAATTAAGAATCAATTCCTATCATAAAGATTAAGTATTTTGAAAGCTCAAGTCACAAAAAAATTAGTACATTAAAACATAATTTTAAGAAAATAATACTAAATAATAATACTAAAATTAAGAGCTTGCTTAGAGGTGCTTAGAGGTGCCTGGCTGGTTCAGTAGAGCACGCAACTCTTGACCCTGCAGTTCTGAGTTCAAGCCCAGTGCTGGGCCAAGAGCTTACTTAAAAAGAGAGAGAGAGAGAGAGAGAGAAAGAAATAAGTAAAATAAAAAATGAATCTAGGAAGGTATCTGAAATCAATGGCAAAAGCAGAATATATTATCCTAGGAGATTAAAAAATAAGCATTAAAACTCAAGAGGTAAATGTCAATACAGAAAATATATAGAACAAAGATTAAGCTCAACAAATATGGAAATACGTCCAACAAAAAAAATCAACAAAATATAAATCAGTAATACTCTATCATTTTACTCTAATACATGCTAAAATTGTAACTCCTAATAATGCTAAGCTCATGGTGACATCAGTACATTCACACAATGCTGGTACAGACTTAAATCCATATAATTTTTTAGATCACAACTTAGTAAATATAATTCATTCTCTTTAATGAATATTTGAACTTCTTTCATATGCTGAACAATGGGGATAAGTAAAAAAGCCACAATCTTGACCTCATACAATTTACAGCCAATTGCAAAAATACAGAATTTTCAAAGATTTAATGGGAAAGCATGATAACTGCTTAATAGAAAAAACAATAGATTGTTAAGGAAGCTCACTATACAAACATCAAAATTAGTCTGGAAGTGTTGGGGAAAGTCATTAGTTATTTACTGGTTGCAAAGCACCTTGCTCGGTATGGGGCTTGAATGATGAACACCACACGGTATCCATCTGCAAAGCCAACAGTCTGGAAGATTCACAACCACAACAGATGCATAAATATAGTGACAAAGAGGGAGAAGCAGTGGGTAGGGAAGTGAAATCATTGGAAAAGAAGTGATGAGCATGATAATTAAAAGGCTAGGAAGCAAGAGGTTATCAGGAGCAACAGCGTGAAAGGAGCTAGATAGAAGAGTCACTGTGTACTGACACGAAGAAAGTCAGTCATAAACCAGCAATCAAAACACAGATGAGGAAGATGTGAGAAGCCAAATCATGTACTCAGGTTTGAACAAGAGAGTCTGAGGCATCTGAATCAACAAGGTTAAAAATGACCAAAATGCAGCTGGAAACACAGTTCTGGAGCTCAGAAAAGAGCTCTGGAGTAAAGACACCATTTAAAAAGATTATCCAGGGAGTGGAGAGAGAAAAGAGCAGAGTCCCAAGGAACATTAATATGGAGGAGTCAGGTCAGGAGAGAGAAGTCCAGAAGCAGAGAGATCAAGGACCTGAGACCCTGGTCTTAAGAGCCAAAGACTGACAGAGTTGAAAGAAAGAGGAAGTGGTAACCAATGTCAAAAGGACCAAAAAAAGTAAGACTGGGCCCCAGAAGAACAATTCAGAGGTCAGAGGTAACCTCACGGTGGGGGAGTGGGGTTAGTCATGGTAGTCAGTGCTGCTCAGGCAGGTTGAAACAGAAAGTTCTTCTGTTGTTGTTTATGGGGTATAAAGTCAGTAGATACTCTCAGAAGAAGTCTTGCTGGTGAAAAGAAACAGTGAACACAAAATGCTTGAAGGAAAAAAGGGTGGAGTGCAAGCTGTTGTAGAAAGTTTGTGTTTGGTTTTGTCTCAGTAACAGAAAAGACGGGAGAGGCGTGAGCATTCTGACAAACTGCTGGGAGGCAATCAGGTTGGTCAGGAAATGACTAAAGCAAAGGCAGATATGAATTACTAAAGGCCTATGCACAAAAAAAAGCAATTTTTCCTTTTTATGTTATTTTATGTTCACTGTGTAAATTAATTGGGAGGAAATACTTCCCCAGATAAGCTTTGATCAAAATCAAAGTTCTAAGGTATAAAGAATTCCAATCGGGAAAGCTAGGACAGGCCTGGGAGTTAAACGGTGCCAGCTCAGGGCTCACTGTTGCCTGGCGGAATGTAGACCCAAAGGCTGGTAGTAGCCGGGAGTTTCAAAGATGCTTTACCAGGTGGGCAGAGAAGCTCTAAGAGTCAGGCAAAGCCGAATCATTACTGCAATGCACAGAGAGAATGACAGGGCAATTGCGCTGCATTTCAGCTTGTCTGCATATTCAAGCAGAGTAAACGTGAGGGATCCCAAGTTCTAAGTAAGAAACTAAGTTTGAGAGATTTTACACAATGATTTGGTACAATTAACAAAATGTTATACTCACTACACATACAGATATATACTATGGACTTAATATTAGGAGTAGGGTGTGTAAGAGAAAAGTGTAACTTTTAAAATCTCAAATTTAGAAAAGTAACCAGCACAAGGGTTTACAACATTATGTATCGATCCACATGTAATTCCTTGCAAGAAATATTGGGAGCATTAGGAAAAGCCAAAACAAGAGAAATAATGAGCAGAGGCTCCAGGACTCAGACTAGATCAACTTCCCTAGAGTACTCTTGCAGTCAGTGGAGGGGGAGGGAAGATTACTCATGTTGAGTAATAATGAGTAACATACAAAAGGACTTGGGTTGTATAAATCAAACTATATATAAGTTTTCAAGCTTACACAGCTTTCAGAGTGAGCAGACTTATGTCACAAGACTGGATATAGCAAAGTGGTGCTTGTTAGCAATCTTTTAGAAAAATAAAAAATATGGAGCTTCAATTCTCCAAATTTCTGAACAAGCTAAAGGGTAATATTATCTTCAAAAAGTCAGTTTTTAAAAGTTTGAATAATCTGATTTATCTGACTCATATTAGAATTTCAATCACCCCATCTTTTCCATAGCAATCAGATATAATTTTTAAAAATGGATCTCAAGGATTCCTTCCCAGCTGTCCATAGAATGTATAGTGTAACAAGAATCAAGAATATAAAAACATATACTACTAATATATATAAAGAATGTAGTTCTTACCACCTAGAATATTTTATCGCCTGTTCTTGAGCCTGGCTAATTTCCATGTTCCCCATGCATCGCTCCCACCAGGAAGCATTCCCTGTTGCTTTATGATGATCCCGACTGATGACTCACTTCTTTCTCCCATCATCACAGCTACAATTTGTCACCCTCTATCTTTATGTCAGGTTTACTAGTGGGAAGCTCCTATAGAACGCAAGTTCCAGAAGGACGGAGCCAAATTAACTAGACTCACAGTCTGGTTCTAAGCACGTGGCACTGGACCTAGCAAATAGAATGAGTAGAATTAAAATTTAAATGAATCATAAAAACAGTGAAAATAGATAGCTCTCAAAGAAACTTTACTCTCAGGAAGGGCATCTCAGGCTACTGCCTCAGTATCCCCTGCCACTATGTCACAGAGACAATCTAATAGCCCATTCCTACAAACACTTCTTTCACTGAAGGTGAGAGTAACATCTAAGGCCTTCATTATCCAGAGCCACGCACAAAGCCAAATTAGGCAGCAAATACAAGGTCAATAAACAATGTCACGTCAATACTTGCTCCTTCATTAAACACTTATTTTTACCATCTCATTCCTCAATATTCAATTTATCTGCTATAACCAACCTAATCCTTCCCCAGTTGTCCCCATCCACTTACAAAAAGGTTTTTTAGCATACCAGCTTTAAAGTAGATTAAATATATATGGCTGTAAATGTCAAGGGAAGACTATCTTAATCACCTGTATAACACTTTATCACCCAGTTACCTAAAATCATATCATAAATGCTCCTAAGAATAGTTTACCTTAATAACACCTAAAAAAAAAGAGCATTTTAGCCACAGTATATACTAAAAAATTAATTATAAGAACTACAAACTAGAAAGAAAAAAAAAAGAAAACCCAATTAGAAAACGAATTATTTGTACTATGACAATATTAAATTACAGGAAAAGAAACATTTTTGTGTCCCATTACAGTCAAAAATGTACTATGCACTATCTAATCTTACCTACACTGATCTACCAATTAAATTTAGGTGCCTACCTAAAAGCCGCTTCCCAAAAGCAGTTCATTCCACAAACATCAGAGGGCAGCATCCAATAGGGATTCCAGTAACACAGAGAGAAATCTTTACACCTAACAGAGTAAGACAGAAATAGAGAGTCCTAAGTGAGTATTTTGGTTTAAAACTAACAAAGAATTTACTTAATAACATAATAACTTACTGTTCTATTTTACAGCAACAAAACTGCAAATACAACACACGCCTAAGGTAACTTGAGGAGTTTTGGAAATTTCTCCCTTATTCAAGGTATCATTATTTTAAATAGAACTTTAAAATCATTAGGCAGGTTATAGTACAGACTGAAAAACCATTTCCTAGTCAGGAACACTCCAAATGTATTAAAATCCCCTCCTCAGATGACACAGAAGATATGAGAATACTTCTAAAATTTTCCTTTGTGTACTACACAGATTCTCCTCAAATAAAATCCATTTTAGCTAAACAAAATAGTTGCTTATCCTGGAGCAAAATTAAAATGCCACAAATACTGACAGAAAAGGAAGAGAGGATCTTTGAAACTTTTTAAATTAATCTTCAATTCAAGCTAGTTGTATAGTGCTTTAAACTGGAAAGAAAGAAAGAAAGAAAGAAAGAAAGAAAGAAAGAAAGAAAGAAAGAAAGAGAGAGAGAGAGAAAGCACGCTGATATCCATGGCTCAGTTTCATTTTGTGCATTATCTTAGTTTCGCTATATTACCCAAGCTAAAATGGACGATTACGTGTAGTCTTTGCTCTTAGATTGCAGGTTGGAGCTCAGCAACAATAGCCATAACATCTCACCTTACAAAAAGTATGTTTTTCATTGTTACTACTTTTCAAAACAACAGTTTGAAATTCACTACAGTGAGGCCTTGATACTAAAGCAAGTAAGTAATCCAAGTAAGTAAACCAGGTCACCTCATGTCCCCTCACCATATAACTTTTTCTCTTGCTATAAATTCAATCATGTTACTGTTCTTGCAGCAAAAGGTCTATGAAATTTCATATTTGCAAAGATTTCTGATCAAACCTCTCATTTCAAATGCTAACACTCTAGGACAGAGGATCTCTCTGCAGGCTGCACAGCAAAATCACCCAGAGCCCCATACCAGACCTATTAAATCAGAATCTCTGAGAACAGAGTAGGGCACAGGTGGTTTTTTTAAATGTTACCTAAATAATTCTGTATACTATCACATAAAAACCTACAAAGCCAGGATTTTAAAATCAACAGAAAAAAGTTACATTGTAGGGGAACCTGGGTGGCTCAGTCGGTTGGGCACTTGCTCTCTCTCTCTCTAATAAATAAATCTTTTTTTTTAAAGTTACATTGTAATTTGGTTTTCTTTTACATGGTCATCATTTTGAAGCCAGCATATCTTAATTTAAATGGTCGATAAAGCAAGGAGAAAAATATATATATACAGACCAGTAAAACCCACGACTCGTTTAGGAAATGTTTGTCCCTTCCCAGGCAGGGTTATGGATGTTTTAAGTCTTGCATTTCCATAGTAGAGAGAGCTCTGTGGTGGTGAACAGCTAACACAGAGTTCTTTCCAGATGCAAGAACTTTCACATCCATTTAGGCCTTACAACAAACTTGTTCAAATAGAGATCTCCATCTTTCATATTCAGACTTCACCATAGCTTTCTTTCAACAAATCCACAATTTATTTATACTCAACACCTACAGTGCACCTTTGTTCCAGGAAGGACATACTCATCTGGTTATTCCATCTCGTGATATCAAACCTCACAGCAGTAGAAAATGGAAAATGAAGTCTCGAGGAAAATAACTAAATTCTTCCATAAAAATTACATAGTAAAACCATTTTCTGCCTCAACCTCTATCTCCCAGACCTAGGCAACCACAAATCTGTCTTGTCTCTATAGATTTACCTGTTACAAATACTTCACACAAACAATATCATACTATATGTGGTCTCTTGAGTCTGACTTCCTTCAATCTGATTCTTAAATACATTTCAAAGTTCATCTACTGTAGCATTTATCAGTACACTTCACTTCTTTTTATGCCTAAATAATGGATGGATATACCACATTTTGTTTAGTCATGCATCAGTTCATAGATATAATTTGTGCTGTTTTCCACCTTTTGGCTATTATAAACAAGTCTGCTATGAACATTCATTTACAATTTTTCTCTGTGCATATGTTTTCAGTTCTCTTGAATATATACCTACAAATGAAACTGCTAGATCTGTAATCACTATAAAGTAATTAATGCAGATGAAACTGTAGGAGAAAAGTCCAGTTTTAGGTAATTTTCTTAACTTTAACTTAATGTCAGAAAACATAGTTTTTAGAAGGGATGTTTTGCTGTCTTTCTTTAACAGAAATATAAAACAGGGCAGCCCAGGTGGCTCAGTGGTTTAGCACCACCTTCGGCCCAGGGTGTGATCCTGGGGACCCAGGATCAAGTCCCACATTGGTTCCTGAATGGAGCCTGCTTCTCCCTCTGTCTTTGTCCCTGCCTCTCTTTCTATGTCTCTCATGAATAAATACATAAAATTTTTAAAATAAAAAAATAAAACATATGCACTAGTGAGTACACATAACATTTACTCTTTTTTCTAAAATCATAAAACATTGATGTGCTGCTGGCAAGAGGTGGCATAATTTACCGCTTATTTCCCAAACTTACATTCTCTTACTTATGAAAAAATGGTTTTAAAGATTGAGAGTAGGGCAGCCTGGATGGCTCAGCGGTTTAGCGCCTGCCTTCAGCCCAGGGAGTGATCCTGGAGTCCCGGGATCGAGTCCCACTTTGGGCTCCCTGCACGGAGCCAGCTTCTCCCTCTGCCTGTGTCTCTATCTCTGTGTGTGTGTGTCTCTAATGAATAAATCTCTAAAAAAATAAATAAATAAAATCTTAAAAAAAAAAGATTGAGAGCAGAAATTCATTATGTACTTATGTAATTCCAAGCAAAGACTGGAAAAAAAAAAACAACTAATTTGGAGATAGATAACAACTGTACTTTCAGGCCAGAAAAAAATAAAGTTAAAAAATACTGAGAAAGTAAAGATAGTTATCCGAGTTCTGGATATTAGTGTCATTTGCTTTTATTCCTTAAAACTATTGGAGGGGCGCCTGGGTAGCTCAGTTGCTTAAGCGTCTGCCTTTGGTTCAGGCCATGATATCCGGGGTGCTGGGATGGAGACCTACATCAGGTTCCCTGCTCAGCAGAGAGTCTGATTTTCCCTCTTCTTCTGCTCCTCCCCATCACCTCACTCCTAGCCCCTTACCCCAAATCCACCTGGGCTTGTGCTCTAATAAATAAATACAATCTTAAAAAAGAAAAAAAAAAACTATTGGAAATGGAATATTAGAAATATAGTACTACATTCAAAGAGCTAATTCTATCAAATACTTTTTAATGGGGCAAAATTGCAGGCTGAGTTTAGTGGGTATATCTTCAGTAAACAGTGACATCCAAGATCAATGAAGCCCATAAACGCAAATCTTCTTCATTGTGGAAGAAATTGAAATAAAACTACTAAGACTCATCCTCAAATTTCATATGGCACAATGTTTCTTTTCTTTTTTAAGACTGTATTTATTGGGTCGGGGGGAGAGCGCTCGCAAGCACAAGCAGAGGGAGGGACAGATGCAGATTCCCCATTGAGCAGGAAGCCCCATACAGGACTCTATCCCAGAACCATGGGATCATGATCTGAGCTGAAGGCAGACGCTTAACTAACTGAACCACCCAGGCATCCCTGGCATAATGTTTCTAGTTCTAGGTGGCTTGTCTACAAAGTAATCAAGGGGTAGCAAAAGGGATCTTGTGGTGGTAACACAGTTGTGTTTGTGGGGGTGGTTACACAAATTTACGCATGAGATGAAACTGCATGAAACTACACAAATACGTATGAACCCATGTAAAACTGGTGATATCTGAATACAGTCTATGGGCTGTACAATATCCATTTCTAGGGTTACAATATTGTACTACATTGATATGCATTCCAAATGTAGTAGTATTGTACTAGGCTCATTTAAAATCCTACTATTAGGGGAAACAGTGAGTAATACAAGTGTGTCTCTGAAAGTACCTGTGAATTTATAGTTATTTAAAAAAATTTTTTTTAAATGATCAAAAACAAAATTCCCAAAAATTTCAGTACTTGAAGAATTCAGAGATTTCATGCTCAGGATTAAGCAGAGCCTTTAACTATATATAAACTCCCCTCAATAACAGTTCTCAAACTTAAAGTTTACTTAAATCTGATAACAGAAGGTCTTTTATACTTTTAAATTAACCTGGATAATGTACTTTTCATTTCAAAACATCTATGATAGTCATTAGGCTTCAGTGAAAAACCATGCACACCTTACAGTCAGGGATAAGTTTAGGCATATCCAGCAAAGGAATGTAGAACTCTGAAGTGCTGCGAGCCACCACTGCAACCTCAAAGCACAGATACCTGTACTGTGACTGTGGCAAGAAAAACAGAGACGCTGGCAACCACACTAAAGACCATTCCCATGATACTGACAAATCGCCATTATTTGAAGATCAGTACCTGGGTCACTCATTTTCTTTCTTTTTTTTGGGGGGGGGGGCGTGTCACTCATTTTCAACTAAAAATTGTCTCCAGACAACTTAATTTCTAGCTCTGTCCGGTCTTCATTTCTTTTTCTTAAATCTCTAGTTTCATGAATACTCAGTACAAAAAGGACTCCTTACATACAAATGTAAGTGAACAATTACTTATCCATTTCCAAACTCAGCATCATATTGTACCCAACTCCCTCCTGCAGGAAAAAACAAAAACCAAAAAAAACTGGATTAAAGATTTAAATGTCAAAAAAGTTGGGGGGGGGGAATCCACTGGTAGAAAGTTTTCCTATACATACACATAACAAAGATAAAAATGGTAAAGGAAAAAACTGACAATCTGAATACATAAAAATTTTAAGCTTCACATGGCATACACACAAGTTAGTTAATATGGGGAGGGGGAGTATTTTCAATAGGTATGGCACAGATAATAATTTTAATGTATTCAAAGAGATTTTTAAATCAAAAGTACACATTATCGTTTTTATTAGCCTAATCAGTTTCCCCTCCAACAACACAGAACAAAATAATAATTTTAATTAATTACTAGTCAGGTTTGTGCTAAGCACTTTACAATCATGTGAAGTATGATCCTCACTGATCTAAAATACAAGTGCAGCATATTGGTTTTACATAAGACGTCTCTGCATGAACAAAACAGAAATGAAGGTGGTTTTAGTAAGTAATTTGTCTCACTATTCACTATCTGAACTTCTCTCTTCAAAAATGACTTCAGGGGAGAAAACATTTTCTCTTAATAAAAACAGTAGTATGAAAATAGTGGTCAAACCTTTCTCAGCTAAATTAGTGGCTCTCAATCTTTGGGACACATATCTAAAACACAGATTCCCAGACCCTACTAACAGGCACCTGGTTTAAGCAGGTCTGGACTGCAGACTAAGGGAAAGGATTTTTTCCCAGAAGTCAGAAATTGAAAAAAATATTGATTAAAATGTAAATGACTGAGGAGCCCCTGGGTGGCTCAGGCGGTTGGGCACCGGACTGAGATTCAGCTCAGGTCCCGATCTCATTGCTCAGGAGATCAAGCCTGGAGTCGGGCTCTGCACTCAGCAGGGAGTCAGCTTGGATATTCTCTCCCTCTGCCCCTTCCCCCTGCTTGCACATATGCATGCTCGCTCGCTCAAATAAATAAATCTTTTTTAAAAAAAAAATCTTAATAAAAGATTTATTTAGAGAGAGACAGACAGACAGCAGGCATGAGGGAGAGGGAGAGGGAATCCTTGAGCAGATTCCCCAGACTCCCTGCTGAGCAAGGAGCCCAACCTGGGGCTCAATCTCAGGACCCCATGATCATGACCTGAGAAAAGGCAGGTGTCTGAGCCACTCAGGTGCCCTAAATAAATAAATCTTAAAAAAAATTTTTTTAATATAAATGATTCAAGCCATCACCATATTAGCTACAGTTTTACTGTGCTAGATACCATATTCAATCATCTATTCAAGCTACTTCATTTCAATTGAAATGAACATGAATACAAAGTACCATACTCTTACCTCTAATCTAACTGATGAAATGTATTCAGGGTTCACAGAGCCAAGAATGTGGTAAAGCTAAAGTCTGTCTCCAAAAGCCCTGAAGATGCTCAGTACATCCTACTAGTGTCACAAGATCCAGGAGAAATGAGAACTCGATGTCCTCACCAGTAAGGTGACTTGACACACAAACAGCATGATGGGTCCAGAAATGGTTATCACTCAAATGCTTAGTAGTTTCTGGATTCCTCACATCACACTGCCGTAACAGCCACAACAGGACAAGATCTTGATGATCACCAACGAGATTCATCAGTGAAATGTGAGAATTTAATCATTCTGAGCAACTGAAGTCACAAAATAGTCTAATTCCTTGTGCAAAAGTCCTGTATTTATATTGAATAACTTAGTCTGTCCACATGGAAGAGCTCAAAAAGTTTCTCTATGTGGAAGAGCCACTGCCTAGCCAGAATTCCCCTCTTTAAGATACCACTCCTCTCCAACACCAATCATGTTATCCTGTCCACCACAAGAATGTGCAAGTGACAGAGCCAGAGAATCAGAGGTCACCATCCCAGACAACACTGACTAGTCCCTGGATGGACACGTGACACAAATCCAACGAGAGCCTTTTCCTAGAAAGTTCTGAGATTAAGAAGAAACACTGCAAAGACCCCATGAACAGTGGAAGAGAATAACAAAGTCCTAGTCCTTAAGGTCCCTGGAGCTGTCTGGGCATTTTCCTTTCAATCTTGCTCCTGCCAGCAACCCATGTAAGTCTATAAATATCTGTTTTGCTTACATCAGTTGTATTGGATTTTAATCACTGATAACTAAGGTTCTATTTATAAATTAACTAAGGTAATATTATATACACTTTACAGGTGAGAAAATTGAAGTAGAGATGTAATCAAGGTTTCACAGCAGAGACAGAAAGAGAACAGGTTTGTCTGACTCTAAGATGTTTTTTAAATATCAAAAAATAATGGATTCAAACAGGAGCACTAATAAATAGATTTCACTGAAAAATTGTTCCTAACATTTTAGGAATTATACTCTGAGAACTTGGAAGGACCTTTCTAAGTAATTTATTGTCATGGAATTCCATGCAATTAAACACTTTCTGTAAGATTTGGGCAATACAACCTACTGGGCATAACCTAGATTCCATATTTTAAATGAATGAGAGAAATAATAGCTAAAGTTTTCAGATAAGACTACTTCAAAAAAAAAGTAAGCATGCAACCATAATTAAGTTCTACCAAATAAAAGGAAGTTGTTGCTTGCCTCATACCCTATATTCACCAACGAAAACACTATATACACTAGAATCTTATCACAGAAGCTTTACAGAAAGAGCCTTAAAGATTCAAAGAATACAGTCCTGGTCCAATAACTGATACCTTCCGGACCCTGGTCAAATGATTTATACAGCTTTTTAGTTGACTTGGACACATCAAACTTAAAATTTCAGTAATAGCTCTATAAAGTATTTATTAACACTGAAGTGCTGGGGTTCCTGGCTGCTCAGTCAGTAGGATACATGACACTTGATTTTGGGGTTGTGAGTTCCAGCCCCACGTTGGACACAGAGATTACTTTTTAAAAAATCACTGAGGTGCTTATTCTAAATTTCAAATAAAGCAAGGTTTGACGCTGCCTGTAGCCGGGGCTGTGATCCTGGAGACCCGGGATTGAGTCCCACCTCGGGCTCCCTGCATGGAGCCTGCTTCTCCCTCTGCCTGTGTCTCTGCGCCCCCCCCCCCTCTCTGTGTCGCTCATGAATAAATAAAATCTTAAAAAAAAAAATCAGCTAGCCAAGTGAATTTACAAAAATCACAAAATAAAGTATAAATGCCTGAGACAAAGCACTACAAGTGAATGTCACTCTACCAAATTGAAATCTAATAGTAGGGCAGCCCGGGTGGCTCAGTGGTTTAGCTACGCCTTCAGCCCTGGGTGTGATCCTGGACACTCAGGATCGAGTCCCACATCAGGCTCCCTGCATGGAGCCTGCTTCTGCCTCTGCCTCTCTTTCTGTTTCTCATAAATAAAATATTTTAAAAAAAGAAATCTAATAGTAATCTTAGAACAAATTTCATCAAGTGTTTTAAAATGTTGCTTCCTGGGATCCCTGGGTGGCTCAGTGGTTTAGTGCCTGCCTTCCGTCCGTCCGTCCAGGGCCCAATCCTGGAGACCCAGGGTTGAGTCCCCTGTCGGGCTCCCTGCATAGAGCCTGGTTAGGCCTCTCTCTCTCATGAATAAATAAATAAAAACCTTAAATAAAATAAAATGTTGCTTCCTTACACTACTACCCCAATACAAAAAAAATGATTCCCCCCCCCCATCATTTCAAATGCTCCACAATCACATAATAGACCACAAACCGCTTTTCCTGACCCTCATTTTTCATGAGCTAATCCAGGTCTTCAGTCCCCACCTCTCCCAGGGCAGATAACTGGAGACTTGACAAACCTGATTGGAAAAGCAGTTCTGCTTTTTTAAGAAGAGAGTCAGGACATAAAGACTCCTAACTCTGGGAAATGAACTAGGGGTGGTGGAGGGGGAGGAGGGCGGGGGTGGGGGTGAATGGGTGACGGGCACTGAGGGGGACACTTGACGGGATGAGCACTGGGTGTTATTCTGTATGTTGGTAAATTGAACACCAATAAAAATCTAAAAAAAAAAAAAAGAAGAAGAAAGAAAGAAAGAAAAATAAAATAAAAAAAAAGTAACGAGTTAATAAAAATAAAATAAAATAAAAAAGTAACGAGTTAAAAAAAATAAAATAAAATAAACAAAATAAAATAAAATAAATAAAATAAAATAAAATAAAATAAAATAAAATAAAATAAAATAAAATAAAGAAGAAGAAGAGTCAGGGATTTGCCTGCCTGTAATCAAATCATGGGGTAAAATCACGGCAATCCAGCTTTCCCAAGCTTCCCCTTTCATTGTGCGGAGGACCACCAAGTCTCAGAGGAATGTCACAGGGCCTGCAGCTGACCTGCCCTCCCCCCTCTCACCGACCCCATACTTTCCGATATCAAAGCGGCCTTTGCCTCTTACTCAAGGGAGCAGGGCGAGGCCTTCCCAGAGGTGCCCGCACATAAAGGGGCCTATTTTTCAAGGAAGTGGAACCGCTCCGATCCTGCTAAGCCGGCCTACGGTGCGCCGCGTTCCTCTTCCCAGTCTCCCGCATAGATCCCAACTCTTGACCGGGATCCGCGCAAACCCACGCAAGGCAGTGCGCCGCTTCTCAAAACCCTGACTTTTGAAGAAAGCTCCCCCCATCCCGTTTCTCTTGACTTGCTCAAGTTCCAGAACAGACCGAGGTTTCCTAAAGAAAAAAATCCACGATATGCACACACACACACACACACACACACACACACAAAAAAGTGTCCGGATGTCACGAACCGACTAAGAATAAAAATTCAAGCGCTAATACCCCCCCCCAAAAAAAAGAAAAAAAAGGTGTTAACGCCCCATTCAGGAGAGGAGGGAAAAAAAAAAAAGAAAAAGAAAAGAAATTGAACTAGGGCGCCAGCGTGAGGTTTAAATATCTCAACTTGAAAAAAAAAAAAAAAAAAGAATCTCAACTTGAGCTCCATGGAAACAAGAGGGAATTCCCAGTAGCCAGACAGTGGGCAGGAGCGCTTTTGTGGGGGCACCTTTTACTTTCAATGAATTCTTTAAAAAAGGGGGCTGGGTGGGGGGGGAAGCAACTGTCAATTAAAAGTTGAAAATCAGGGATCCCTGGGTGGCGCAGCGGTTTGGCGCCTGCCTTTGGCCCAGGGCGCGATCCCGGAGGCCCCGGATCGAATCCCACGTCGGGCTCCCGGTGCATGGAGCCTGCTTCTCCCTCTGCCTGTGTCTCTGCCTCTCTCTCTCTATCTGTGTGACTGTCATAAATAAATAAAAATAAAAAAAATAAAATTAAAAAAAAAAAAGTTGAAAATCAGGGGCGCCCGGGTGGCTCCGTGGTTAAGCACCTGCCTTCGGCCCAGGGCGCGATCCCAGAGTCCCGGGGTCGAGTCCCGCATCAGGCTCCCTGCCTGGAGCCCGCTTCTCCCTCTGCCTCTCTCTCTGTCTCTCATGAATAAATAAAATATTCTAAAAAATAAAACAAGTCGCAAATTAATTTCTATCTGTTTTAAAGAGCGCATCAGGAACGGGCCGGAGGACGGACACAAAGGGCACGGGGTGCGCTGGCGCCGGGCTCGCCCCCGCCGGGGGGAAGGAGGGAAAGGAGAGCCGGGGCCGGAGGCGGCGGCGAGGGAGCGGGAGGCGCGGGGCGCACCGGCGAGCAGCTCGGCCCAGGCCCCGCCCCCGCCCCGCCCCGCCCCGCCCCCGCGCCCCGCACACCCCCGCCCGCGCGTACCTGTCCGACCGCCGGGATGCGCCGCGGGGCCCGCGCTGCCCACCCCTCCCGCGCCGCCGCGTCCGCCGCCCGCCAGCCAGGAAGCCGCCGCGGCCTGCGGCTTCCCGCCACCGCCGCCCGCTCCTTCTTCCGGGGACGCGGCGAGCTGGCTGAAGGCGTAGAGGAGCGAGCAGAAGCCGCAGGCCAGGCACAGCACCACGATGCGCAGGTAGCGCCGCATCGCCCCGGCCCCGCGCTCCCGCCGCCGCCGCTCCCGCCGCCGCCGCCGCCGCCGCCGCCGCGCCCGGGTGCCTGGAGCGTAGGGAGCCGCACTGCGCAGCCGCGGCCGCAACCAGTTCCTCCGCCGCCGCCGCCCCGCCCAGAGCCCGAGGCCCCGCCCCCTGCCGGCCGCGCAGGCGCAGTGAGCGCGCCAGAGGCGGGAGCCGAGCGCGCGGGGTTCTTGGCCCGGGAGCGCTGCAGGGAGGGGCTCGCGGCAGGTGGCTCCCCGCGCTGCCCGGGACAGGTGCGGGCGAAGCGACCCGGGCGTTGGAGACCGCCGACCCCAGTTCACACTACGGTTCTCCCACCTGCTACTTTGTGACGTTGAGCAACCTACATTCTCCGGGCATGTGTTTTCGTCTCTAAAACGGGGATCCCTGGGGGCTCCGCGGCTTAGCACCTGCCTTCGGCCCAGGGTGTGAGCCTGGAGTCTCAGGATCGAGTCCCGCGTCGGGCTCCCTGCGTGGAGCCTGCTTCTCTCTCTGCCTGTGCCTCTGCCTCTCTCTGTCTGTATCTCTCATAAATAAATAAAAAATCTTTAAAAAAAAATAAAACGAAGACAGTATCCTCATCCTAGGCTGGTTGCAAACATTAAATTGCTTAACGCACGAAAAACGCCTTGCACCTGAAAGGCATTTGATTAAGCACTTTTCATTTCCATCCTCCTCAGCAGGGACTTCCCCAGCCTCTAAGTTTGCGTAATACTGTGCGAGTCATTTTCATCCAGATATTTAATGACCACGTAATGCTGTTGAGTATGCCTATCAAGCCCCAGTTCGGCTGAGGTCCTCCCTTATTGCATCTTTTTGACTTTCTTTACAACTCACACTTGCATGTCCCTAACAGTAATGTTCTCCCTCAAGGGCTTTCTCTTTAGCTTTCCATTTCTTCCCTCTCTTCGTCAACTGTATTAACACTCCCTCCATTTATTGAACATTCACGAAGCACCGCTATGTGTCAAGTACTTTGGGGTATAAAGACACCTAGTTGGGAGATCCCTGGGTGGCTCAGCTTTAGCTCCTGCTTTCCGCCCAAGGCGTGATCCTGGAGACCCGGGATCGAGTCCCACGTCGGGCTCCCTGCTTGGAGCCTGCTTCTCTCTCTCTGCCTCTCTCTCTCTCTCTCTCTCTCTCTCTTTCTCTCTCTCTCTCTCTCGAGCAAATAAAATCTTAAAAAAAAAAAAGACACCTAGTTGGGCATGGGGTGGGACAGTAAATAAGGACCTGAATAAATGGGACTTACAAATAAGTGTGAATAAGTAAATGAGAGACAATATATAAGTGCAATACCACGATACAGACTTTAGCATATAAGCCTGTAAAGGTGTGGGCAAACAAAAAAGAGTGATCAGTTCTATGGAGGGCCTGGTCAAGAGACACTTCGTGGTAAAAGAGGCACCAGAGTCTTGGGGGTTGGGTAGGGTAAGGAACTGCAGGCTGAGGCATCAATGAAATGGATTCTTGTGTTTGGGGAACTGTGAGAAGTTTGATACCACCAGCTAAGTGAATGCAAGGGAGGGCGTGATGAATGATAAGACGGTAGAAGTTGAAGGGGACAGATATTTGAGTGCCTTGTTTAGTATACCAAGGAGTCTGAACTTAATCTAGCAGACAGCGGTGACCATTGAAGGGTTTTTAAGTTAGGAAGTAACATGATCACATTTGCCTTTTAGAGAACAGATTCTGGCTCCACTGTTGGAGGCTGAGACAAAGATTGAGATTGGAACCAGAAAGCAGTCACAGTGCCACAAAGTGAGGGAAAGAAGGCTTTAAATACACACACACACACACACACACACACACACACACACACACAAACATCCCACACAGACTTCATGAAGAAAAATCATGCTGTTAAACTGTTCAAATTGCATTTGGAGCTTTGAAGAGTTTGGACATGAGAAACAAAGCGGGGAAATGCTTTGTATTTTAGCAGTAGTTCTCCATTTGGAATCTCTATACCAAAAACTGCTGGCTCTGTGACCATGGGAAAGTTAAATAAATAAAGTTAAATAAACTTAAGCCTCAGTTTCTTCTATAAGGATTAAATTTCTTGACTCACCAGACCCCCCCCCCAAAAAAAGAAAGAAAGAAAGAAAACTAGGGTGCTATCAAGATGTGTACGTAGAATGAAAACATACACTTATTCATTCAATAAGCATTTATTGAATATATTCTACATGCCAGACAAGGGGCTAGAATGTACTGCCCTCAAAGGGAAGACAGGCAAATAAAAATAACAATATTAAATTAATCCTTCTACTACACCTTATAATTCTTAGAGAAATAAAGATAAACTTAACGAGGTACAAAGATGGATCTGCAAAAGCATATATAAGAATGGAAAATAGATTTGGAGAGAGAAAACCAAAGGATATGGTGCCAAGAAACTAAAATAAGAGCAAGTATTCAAATAGATCAAAGATATTTAAAGAGATGCCTACCACAATTGTTCCCTATTTCAACTTTGTTCAACAAAGAAACTAAATGTAGTAAAAATAAAGAATAATTTAATGCCCCACAGCTTGTTAAAATACTGGAATGGCAGTTTTCATTCTGCAACAATTTATGGGACGAGCATATCCAGAAGAAAAATCATCCATATACTTGACATCAGGGTTCTGGACCATATCATGTCCCTTTAGGCTCCTTTTAATCCTGTAATTAAAAAGAAAATTCTGTTGAAAAAGTATATAAGGCATTCCAAAATAGAAATGATTTTTATATTGCCCACACAGTGTTAACTGGTTATCTTGGAGTATAATGAGCCAGGCGCATGCCCTTATGATCACTTCCAGGATTCACACGTTTTTGTATTTTTGTTTGTATGTCTTTAGGTTTTATATATTTAAGTAATCTCTATACCCAACATGGGGCTCAAACTCATGACCCCTAGATTAAGAGTCAGATGCTTTTCTGACTGAGCCAGCCAGTGCCCCTGAACATTGTGATATTCTTAAAATTAATCTCAAATTATTGAAAATGATTTGAATATTTTTGATATAGTAACAGGTATTTCTTTCATTTATTGTGTATATGTATGTACTCCTAAGTCTATTTTTCATCTCTAGACCACCCTCATAATTCTCTAGTGACAGGCTGGCCATATACAAATTTTAATCAATGCTGATCTTACTGTCTGTCAAAAAGCTTAATTTGGGGGGACAAAAATAAATTTAAAAGTAGCAATATTCGTTGTTTAAATTATAGAGATAGAATTTTCCTCCATGATCTAGAAAACTCAGATTCAGAGTAACCCAGATTTCAGGAATCTTACGTTCAAAAGATTAATCTTGATTATTTTTATAGTTCCTAGTACATTTTGAATATGTGGCAGACATTTCATTAATGTTTTTATTATTTTCATAAATCTTCTCTTACTCTATAGCAAATTTAGGGTTCTGCTCAGCATTTCCTTCCTATTTGTCTACCTTTTAGTACTTCTTTAAAAAAAAGGAGAAGAAAAAGATATCCTCTGGGGGAAAAGATAAGTCTTTATCTTTCCAGAGTAAAGTTCAAACTTTTTTACATATCTTCACTTTATAAAGGTATATGCATAATCTGATTCAATCCTTGTAACACTTATATGAAGTAGATTTTATTTTCTTTTAGAAAATAAGGAACATAAAATTCAGAAGTTTGTTAATCCCATCACAAATAATGAAGATCCATAATTCAAACAGAAATTTTTGAGTATCCAACACACATTTTTCCCATTTTACCTATCTCACTATGAACAAATAAATGCTACAGAGTGATGCAAATCAGCAGTAAAAGCAAAAAGGAAAAAAAAATCTATGTTATGTGAAAATTCTTAGAGTGGTTTTGGGATTACAACATTTACAGAGAAATACAAGTCAGAGTAGTTGCAGAGCACAAAGAATCAGAAACTCAGACTAAAAGTGAAAATCATTCTCTCTTCCAATTGGCTTCTAGTGAAATCTCTTCATTTCCCACAGTCCATTTCCTAGAAACCTTGTTGGAGGAAGGATGAAGTAGTTGGAAAATAGTATTCTCAATGTTCATACAAAAAGTATTTCAGTTGGGTGTTCACTCAGACCAATAAATGGGGGTAAGAAGTAGAGTCAGGGAGAGGGTAAAAGAGTAAAGCAATTATCTTCATTCTCAAAAAACTCAACTATAGGCCACATGAGTCAAAAAAAATGGCAGTGGAAGACCAATGAATGGGGATACCTTAGCTCCTGTATGACCCCAAATTTAGTGGGTATTTTCATGCACAAGAAAGAGAGAGAACGGAGGAGGTGGAGTAGGGAGAGGAGTAAGGAATATCCTAGGGACCATCCCCATACTTCTCCCCATTCGTCTTCAGGAACCCTCCATTCCCATTAATACAATAGTTTATTATTTTTTTATTTCTTAAATACTGCCAGTAAAAAGCTAGGTTTGCAGGGAAATTTAGTCATGAGGAAAATTAGAATTAAAACACACATGCACAAGTTCTCTAAAACCTGCCATCAATCAAGGTCATGATTACAAGTGTAAGTAATATTTTTCCTAATCCAGGTCCCAAAAGCTGAAGATTGAAAATAATTAAGAATTCTGATACTATCACACATCAGAAGTCCAGTCCTTAGTTGAAAAATAAAACCAGAGCACTTGTTGTTACCCATATTCCTTTCTATAAAGAAATTACATCACTACACAACATTATGTTATGTTTGGTTTCTTCTTTTCTATATTTTTAATAAGGTAAAAAAATTATTTTTTCTTCTCTGTTAAGCTATTTATCTTATCCTGTCCTGGAAACATAGACTTTTTTTTTTAATCTTCTATTATTAAAGAACTACCTCTTGGACCAAAATTATTTTGCTCTTCTGAGAACTCAGTCTATTTTCCTTAAAAAAAAAAAAAATGCTTTCACTGCCATTTTTGTCCCTTAGGAATCTTCTCTCAAACTGGTTTTACACAGTATCCCAACTCTTCTCAATCTTGTTGACCCTAAAAGTAAACAGGCGCATTTCATTGTTGCTATTATTATAAATTAAGAGGATAGTGAAAATAATAAGGATGAAAAACTCTAATAATGAGTCTTGGTACCCAGCTTAGTTTCTGAATTCCCTTGCTAAAAGAGTTCATGGAAATATGAAGATGAAATGGTAACTTTCAACTAAACTCCCTACTTCTAAGTAGGCCAGCAGATCTAAACCTAGACATAAGCTCAAGACCTGCCACTCAGGAATTCGAGTTGGGGAGGCACCCATTTCACTAGAACCTTACCCCAAAAAGTTCTCATTGGAGTTTAGCCTCATTGAAACAAAAAAATTTCCCAACTTTAAAAAAAGTACTACTATTTAGCTTTACTTACAGAAGAGATCTGAGGAACTTTATAAGAACACAAGGAAAAATATTAAGATCAAAATCTAGAAAAATATGGATCAAGAAGATAGACATGGCACAAGAGTAAGCCTAATTTTAACCTGAGATTTCTCTCAGAAACAGACAGCAATCAATAAATTATCTGCACTGTCCATAAGAAAAAGGCAAATTTGCTCATGTGAATTAAAGCCTTTGCTGAAATAGATCTGAACAAAATTTCTCATTTGGATTCTGGGTAATGTTTCCTCATTATCTTCACAAAAAGGAGTAGCAGACCTTATTCAGCCAATTATTGATTTTTAAAAACGAGTATATAAAAATGATATTCTCACATGGCTCACTCTTAACTTTGAAAATTCAAGCTGGTGTAACAAAATGGGAGCTAGCAGAACTACTACTGACACCAAACAAGTATCAGCTACAACTACCAAGATGAAATCCTAACATTTTCAGTGTGGACTTGGAGTGGATACTTAGGCCAAGATGAGTTTCCTAGAATAAAAAAAGTGGGGGACAGGGTGGAGGTAGCAAGCACTCCCTCTGCTACTTCTGTATCTTATGTACGTGTTTTTATTGTTGCAGTGATGCCACTGGAATTACTTATTACAGATCTCTCTCTCTTTTTTTTAAGATTTTGTTTATTTGACAGGGAGAGAATGAGTTTGAGAGAGCACAAGCAGGGGGAGCAGCAGAGAAAGAGAAGCAGGCTCTCCACTGGGCAGGGAACCCAAGGCAGGGCTCAATCCCAGGACCCTGGGATCACGACCTAAACTGAAGGCAGACGCTTAACCGACTGAGCCACCCAGGAGCCCCCAGATCTCTCTTCTTCAGATGTGAGCTCCAACTGCTAGCTCAGTGCCAAGCACACAAAATATACTCAATAATTGTTCACTAAATTGAGTACTGATGTAAAGACAAACTATATCAGGGTTTAGAGTGTTAAAACAGTAAAATAGCTACTACAGTGTACAACTCCTACTGATGTGGAGAGCACACACTAAGAAATGACTCAGAACATGAAACATGTCCCAGAGCACTGAAACTTTTCAGAGCTCTACTTGGTTTTTCCACAGAAGTACCTGGTCTTATTATGGTATTTCATATGCTCCAAAACTGGACCATTCCACAAAGACAGGAATATCTGCACTGGGTAAATGCAAAGTTCACATTAAAAGCAACATTTAAATAATCTGCGATAGCGAGGGTATGCATTCAGGAAAGTAGTGTTCATACAATTCAAGGTAAAAATTCTCTATGACAGCTTTTTAAAATGAACTGGTTTTGAAGGAAATGGTTCTGAAGTTACACATATTGCTGCCCTAGTAAACATAGCTGAAACTTAAATGACTGAGTCATTATGAGGAGGAATCACAGAACATTTTTTAAACATTCTCAGAGACAGACATGCTACAATTTGTTCTCTGCCTTCCTAGCAATTCTTCTCTATGATCATCCAGATTGTGTTCCAAAACCCCATTTACTAATTTCTGCTTTTTGGTTTTTCTCCTACCCCCTTCCCTCCTTGTCTTTGATATTACTGGGGCTTATTTTCTATTGCCCTCAGTAGCCAGGGAGGGCTTTCTTTCCCTCTGCTTTCACAAAATGGTCACATCCTATATTCAGTATCCTTCAGTGTCTCTTGATTCTGCTTAGCTATTTTTGTCAGTGACTTCTCTGCACTTCTGTTTTTCTACATTCATTATTCCAGACAACTGAAGGTACCTATGATTAAATGGTGGGGGGAAAGCAGTGCCAGTAAGTCAAAATATTTTATCCTTTTTACACTCTTTACTGTTTTTACTTAATTTTTAAAGTACAGTGTAGAAATTCCTATCAATGGTCCAATTTCTGTATCAGGCCTTTAAAAGATTCCTGAAGAGGTAATTTGCAGATCAAGAAAATAGATAAGGGCCTTAGTGGAAACTAAAACTTTTAGTCCATTTGCATTAACGCATGAACATGCAGAAACTACATTCTTTTTAGGCAACTAGGATTTTTGTCTAAAAGGAAGGTAATAAGTATGCTATCAACCTAGAAAAGCTGAGATTCTCTTCCTTTTTTAATGTTTTCACTTTCTCTATCACTATAATTTTAGGAAGGCATTTAACAAAAATAAAACCTTTAATCAACTATTTCTACTGTGTAATACAAAAGGTTTTAAGAATATGTATTCTAATATGCCTCAAATTATATCTTCACTCTTAATTGTATCAAAATAAAGTAATAAACTCTGAAGTTTTGTATGAAATACGGTTAAAAGAACCCACTGCTAAAACCACAGTGTAAGTTGATGCAACAGAGCTACAAATGTACCCTAAGCCCAGGCTCTGAATCTTTTGCATATTTTAACATTTGGTGTATTTATGGAATTTGGGTCTGTTTCCTGGTTTGGAAGTGTATTTGAGGTAGGGTGAAATGAAAGCAAGTGAATTGTGATTAATGACAGGAAAACAAAATTTCAAACCAGCCAATTCAGTTCATTTGTCCTGTCTCATAGCACATACCATCAGGTTCTTGAATTACAGAAAGTTGGCTGGTCTGGGATCAGAGCAAACATCTGATGTAGAAAATTCAGCATAACCTACAGAACATAATTCTTTTTGGTCATCCGAGAGGGCATGGAAACGATTTTTGTTACAAAGAATATTTTTGTAATGGGATTTTACCTATAAAGATACTAAAGGTTCATTTAACTGAGCAGCCAGTGTGCCTCATGTTAATTGTTAAGTATTTTATGTGGCTTGACATTTAATCCTCCCAACAACCCCATCAGTTAGATTTGATTACCATTATCCCTGTTTAATAGACGGCACATGACCTTGAGTAATTTACTCAAGCTCATTTAGTTAGGTTCTATAACAGGGATTCAAAGCATCAGACACTAGTTAGCACTCTAAATTTCCATGCTATACTGTCTCCCCACCTATATAAAAAGATGACTACTCTCCATTCAGGTAAAATCCCATCTTCTGTCAGTTTTTTCTCTCCCACAGTCCATTTAAAATACATCCTGAAAGAATTTGATCATCATCAGAAGACCCAGTGCCTCCAAAGCATAGTTTTGACTTAAAAATTAAAGATTTTCCCTACTACAATTATTACTTATAATTTTTACTATGTCTAAAATTTAAAACATTTGAAACATGTGAAAAACAGTAAAATATGGCAAAAATTTCTCATGTTTTCAAAGAACAAAACCAGTTAGCTGGGGTTCCATTCAAAGTATCTTATAATTAAAAACAAACTTTTTCATTTAACAACACTAAAGAATGAGGTATATAAATGTTTTAATCACAAACTTTTACTGTATGCAATTAACTGTATTTCACAACTAGCATCTTACAAAAAAGACAGTCTCATTGTGCCTGGAAAAAGTACTGCAATTTAACAGAAAATTACATTACCACGAGAAACCACCAAATATCACAACTGTCAGGGTCTACGATTTTTAGGGGTATTTTTTTCTGCTCTTCAAATGTGATCATAGTGTCTTTAAGTGATATTCTGATTTCAAGTTAGGTTTTTAATTTACATTTCAGAAGTCTCCTAGAGGTGGATATATATTAAACAAATGGTAAAAGAAGCAGGAGACCCTAGAAGAATTTAAGAAGTACTGTGTGGTTTCTAGGTTGGATTTTTAAATACAACATGAAACACATTATTAGTTTTGAACAAAAATGCAAAATCTGTAGTCATAAAAATATTTTATTGGTAATTTTACATAATAGTAAGTGGGGCTGTAAATACTTTTTCTATTTCAGGATATTGATAAATGCATAAACTGGCAGTTGTGTCTCAAAATAGGGCAGTATGATTTTCATAAGAATCATTATGTTTAATAAGAGGCCAATTATTAAACTGATTTAAGATTAGTCATTTCTCAGTTCTGTGCAACAGTTCCCATTTCTGTATTAATTAGATTCATACTTCTATGACCCTGCACAAGTTTGGGGCAAGACAACAGTGATAAAACTATTATTTAAAGTTAAAGCTTTTCCAAAATTGCAGCCTTTAAAATACATCAGGTTTCTTTTCTCTTTTTGCCAAATGCTTATACTGATTTGAACTTTAATGTTTTATATTATACAGAAAATACCAGTGTTCAATGACAAGAGCACTAAACCTGAATTATAAAGCTAAATAATCAATGTTTTATTGTTTACTACTCTGCTAGTAAACATTACAATAATGAACGTTTTCAAAGATAAACAAAAACAAAAACAAAGATAAAACCAGAAACATAATTCAGGAACAATAATTTAGTAAAATGTGTCAAAAACATTGGCAACGGTTCATACAAATTCTTTATTTAATAACAATTTTTCCTATTTAACCACACCAAGTACCAGCAGGTGTATTTAAGAGGATAACCATTAAGAAAATCCTGTTGCAGCAATAGTTGATTAAGTTGATCTTTGACTTGTATACATATAACTATTTGTTTCACAATCTCAAATAATACATATTTAGGCAGCTTGCACTATGTTATAAAAATTTAAATTCGTTACATGCCAATAGTAGAGAATTCAAGAATTATGTGTTAGAATTCACTAAACTAAAAGTGAAAATAGACTTACCAATAACACTGCATAATGAACAATTCAACCACATTTTCATGGCACCTTGAACTGTGGAGACCAAAATGTCAAGTCTGAAAATGTTTGGTAAGCATAGATTGCAATAAAGTCTAACAAATTCTAACAAATTTCTATTCTGTGTAAAACGCAAATTATGGATTGTGCGTGAATGTTTGTCATGAAAATGTGGTACTTCTTGGCATAATCTGTGTATTTGCATGTTATGACAGAAGTGACTAAGAAATTGGAGAAAATAAACTTTAATGAGATTCTCCATTCAATGATGAGGCTTCTCCTCTGGGTGAAGATGACCTGGACATTCCCCTCTCTGTATTATCAGAGCTAGAGCCACTCTGACTGTGTTGGTCTGCAGAAGCAGCACTAGATGCAGGCGGTGACTTCGTTTTCTCCTTAAAGTCTGTAATAATGACTGTCAGATCTCCAACGGTAACTTCCAAATGCTGAGCACTACTCCGATCCACATTTTTCAATCTTGGCCTAAATACAAAAGATGGTAAAATTTTAAACTCTCTTGTACCAACTTTTGAACATATAATGCACGAATTATGTAAGAATAACAAAATGAATACATCTTTTTTTAAAGCTCCAGATTCATAAATAACTAGCCACAAAAATATAATTACATGCTTCAAATCATTAACGTTAATCGAACCAATCAATGATGAATCTTCTTCAACATGACAAACTGATACCCTGGAAGCAATGGTCTCTTAATTGTGCTTTTATAGCTTTATCATAATTTTTCAGATAGCTAATCAATTTTACTAAGATAAATGTTTTAGGAAAGCAATGACATAGTTGGATCACAGAGTAAGTTGATAACAGTTAAGGTTGTATTATACGTAAGGCTGTTATTCCAGAGATGTGCACTGTTAAAGGCATCATGATTATCTGTTCTGCTTGTATCCATGAAGATTTTAACTGCTTAAAGCCCATGCAAATATCTGTTCGGTACTATGAATATCACTCTTGGCTTCATGGTTGGAAAAGAATAAGCTCAAACACAAATGTCTTTGAATCTAGTAAACAAAACAAAAAACAAAAACAAAAGAAAAAGAAAAAGTAAAAGAAAAAGAAAAAAAGCATCCTTACATTTAAGCTTATATTGGTGGCCTCTGTGTTTAATTTCTAATCTATCTCTCAAACTCAGAAAAACATGATATTTTATAATAAAGGAGCTGAAATCTTTTATTTCCACTTTGTATAAGAATATATCAATGTAAAAAAAAGAATGTTAAATGGTTCATTTTATTATTTCACAAGTGCCATAAAACACTCTTCAAATTTACCTGGTTTTCTTATGACTGTTCTTTTTGCTAGTTGTTTCCTTTTCACTTTTTTCTTTTTCTACTTTATCTTTTTTCTCTTTCTTTGACTGTGTAGGGGGCACAAACTGCTGAGTAACCTGCTGGGCAACCAACTGGGAGACAGGTCGAGGCTTCCTGTGTGCATGTTAAAAAGAAAGTTTTTTTTTTATTATAACTAAGAATATATATTCTTTATGAAAATAGCTCAAATTTTAATAGATATGACATGATTTTCAAATAAAATTCTTCATGTGAGATAATATGCAATTTAACAGATTTTACACACATACACACACAAATTATTGTCTTTCCTATCTAACAAAAAAAGAACTATAATAACAGCAAAAGTTATAGCCCAAAATATATGGTCACACCATTAAAATATAAGCATTACATAAATCAATGTGAAAATTATTAAAAAAGTATATCAAACTGAATGCTCATAGGGCAGCACACATATAAACAAACATGAATCCTAAAATTAAACTTAAAAATTTATACTGAAATAATGTTTACATTATCCCTTCTCTCTCATAGAAGGAAATATTTAACCATCTGTGACAATGGCTATTTATTCTTTCCTCTAAAATCTTTCATTTATTCATTTAATAAATATTTGAGTATCAAATTTTCTCACTCTTTATTGCTAAAATTTCTTGAGGTTCCTTATATCTCTAGCCACAATCTTGCCATGCTTTTTGTGACCCTGACAATCTGCCCAGTCCTTTGAGACTTGCCTACTTACTCACTTATTCATTTAAAAAATACTGAAAACCTATTGTAGATATTGCACCAAGATATCTGAAATGTTGTTTGGCTTCACCCTTTGGTGCCAGTACAAAGCTGTGACTCCACTGACCCAGGGTCAAGGATCCCTCCAGCTTTATGGTAGAACATGGGAAGTGAGGTCAAGATTCAAAGTAAACAATCTCTAAATTCTTAAACTGAGAGACAGAAAGAAGACTGAGGAGGAGAAGGAAGAGAAGTAAAAAAGTAAGGGAGAGGAAGATAAACATACATTTTTACGGACAGTCTACAAAAAACACAGTAATTTTATTGCCTGGAAAATCTTGACCCTATTTCAATCAGAATTATTAAAGGATCTTTCTGATATTTCTGTTCCTCTAAAACAAGACAAAATAGAAACCAATGAGAAAATACTGCACTGTCTACAATTCAAAGCTGTAAGGAGGAATCTTTTGAAGGAGTAAGTAGGAAACACAGCATATAAAAAACAGGTTTCAATAGATGGATAATGAATTTTGTTTAAAGCCCACAGAGTCTAAAGTACAGAAAGGATATCCAAGAAAGATGTTTAGCATAATTTAAGAAATAGGGTTGATAAAAGTATCAGAGTTAATGATGTAGATTAAGAGTCACACAAATAAAAGTGATATTTAGCATGGTAATTAATGGCTGAGCTTGGTAAGGAAATAAATTTTCTAAAGAATAGATTAAAACAATGGTTCCTAAATTTAAGGTACATCAGGATCCCCTGGAAGGCCTGTTAATAGCTTGCTTAGCCCTACTCCCAAGGTTTCTAATTCAGTAGGCCCTAAGGTGGAGCCTAATTTGCATTTCTAAGTGGTTTCTCAGTTAGCTGATGCCTCTGATCTAGTCCATACTTCACAAAGAAGATTGAAGAAGTACAATATATAGGTATTACAGTTGTATAAAGTTTAAGATGGAGAGTGGGAAGTGACAAGGGAATGGAGGGAAAAAAAAAAAGCAAGGCTAAATGGATGGGAAGGAATCCAATAATGAAGAGCTAAGGAGTCTGACTTACCCTTAAAAGATGGGAGATTGAAAGGAAAAAAAAAAAAAAAGACGGGAGATCACAAAAGAATTGAATTTTACAAAGATTACTGGCACCGGCAGCAGTCTGAAGGGGAAAGGTACTACAGTGGCAGAGAAATTGTTAGGAAAGCTACTAAGAGATTAGGGGATAAAAGGCTTGAACTAAGGAAGCCGCAAGGGGGTTACTTATTTAAGACAGGCCAAAGTAGTAAAATCAAAGAAACAAGTAACTAATTATATACACCTTTCTCACTTCTTAACCAATGAATATTCCTCTACAAAAACAGAAATCCTAGCCCTCATGAAGCCAAAAAAAAAAAAAAAATCAACACAGGGTCTTAAATGTTGATAAATGCTATGGGAAAAAAATAAGGAACGTAGGGAGTAATGCAGGAGTTACAATTTTCATTTTATTGTCTGTTTCCTCTTCTAGGATATAAAACTCCACAAGGAAAGGGATGGTTTTCGCTTTATGCACCACAGTATAATCAGCACCTAGCGCAGTGCTAAAAAAAAAAATACTAGCTACTTAGTGTTTGTTGTTGAATGATTAATCAGGTTTAACAAAGAAAGATGTTTTTTTAAGAAAAGGAATACTGTCTCTAAGGTTACTCACTGGCCAGGATCAACCACTTACTATACAAAAGTAAATAAGTAGTAAAAAAGTAAGAGCAAGAAGAAATAACTTTTAATTATGTTGGAAAATGGAAAGAGAAAAGAAAACTCAAAGCTGTAGCAGGGTTAATTAAGAGTTGTTTAAACTAATGCCTAGTGAACAGTGAATCACCTAAAATTGAGAGTCACTCCAAGATATAAAATGCAATTGAGGTGTAGTCATCTTTGGTCTCCCCAGGTAATATGGATCTCTGAATCTCTTCCTTTCATAACAAATGAAGGTTTGACAACTTCCTTTATTATATTTTGTACTGTGTCACTCCCTCCATCCTAAAATTTAATGCAAAATAAATTAAAATGTTAATGATTGAATTGAATTAAAATAAAATTACAAACATTAAAATAAACTTACATGCTTTTGAACCTAAAGGAATTCTGTTTCTAGCAATCAAAAAAATCAATGTTATTGAGTAACCATTATTACTAAAGGTATAGAATTGATTTATATTATCTTTATATAGTGCTTTTAAGTAAAATTGCATATTTTTCTATGTTTTTCTGTATTAATAATCTCAGTACCCCAATACTATTTTTTCCTGTAAGATGTGACTATCTCAATCATGAGTTCTCTGATCAAGATTTGCAGGAATATAACCCTTGTGCTGTGGTTAGGTACAGAATATTTTTATAACATGATCAATCAACTCTCTCACCCCTCCAGCACTTGTCTCCAAGTAGTACCCATCTACTATGTGACATTGTTCCTCAACATCTCCCTCCCAACTTTTATGTGAGAAAAGGATAATTTCAATTCCCAACTTCAGGTCTCTTAGAACTGTTGCCGAGTCTTTTTCATATCTAACAAACATTATCTGTCCAGAATCTTCCTAGAATCCTTTTTATATGGCCCATCAATCTTCTGAAAATATCAGAACATAAAACTTCATAAAGCCATGAGGCTGAGTTACATATATTTATAATTTGTTTTTAAATGAGTTATGAATCTAAAATTCTTCTAAGTGTTATTCTCTCAGGGTAAGAACAAACTACTCAATAAATGCACATCATCCAAAACCAACACAGAACAAACTATTAATTAAACTAGTCATGTGTGAGGCTGGACTCTGAAGACAAGTTAGATGCCTACCACCTCAAACTGGAAATGAAGTAATAGTAGTAAGGGTCTATTCTAATCTGGAGAATGGCATTGAAGCACTGAATGTGATGACATTTCAGAAGGACCATATAATCAGAAGAGTATCTGAATAAAAGGGGTAAAGAACTCTCCTCCTGGAGAAGGAGGAGAAACTGAAAGAAATGGAATTTAGAAGGGTAGTGCTGTGAACCAAATGTTTGCATTTCCTGCAAAATTCATTTGTTGAAATTCTACCCCTCCAAGGTAATAAATGGTAGTAGGAGGTGGGGGGTTTCAGGGGTGATTAGGTCATGTGGGTATAGCCCTGGTGAGTAGTGCCCTTATAAAAAAGGCCCCAGAGAGATCCCTTGGCCCTTCTGCCAGGTGAGAAAATAGCTGTCAATGTGGAAGTGGATCCTTATCAGACAGCTAATCCGCCAGTGCTATGATCTCAGACTGCGAGAAATGTTTGCTGTTCATAAGCAACCCCATTTATGGTATTTTTGTTATAGCAGCTCAAAAGGACTAAGGCAGTTACAGGAAAGCCAAGAACAGGTCTACTCTAAATAGGATGAACTGATAAACTTGGGTGTCAATTACATTGCGTTCATAGAGTTAATAAAATATAAGCAAAGCTATCCTTCGAGCAAGCGTAAATATGAGACTAGTGATTTTTTTTAAAAACGATTTTATTTATTTGACAGAGAGAGAGATGAGCACAAGCCGGGGCAGAAGGAGAGGGAAAGGTAAGCTCCCTACTGAGCAGGGAGCCTGATGCCAGGTTCCATCCCAGGATGCTGGGATCATGACCTAAGCCAAAGGTAGATGCTTAACTTACTGAACCACCCAGGCACCTCAAAACTAGTGGTCTAATAAGCAACCTTGTGTTCTTAGCGTACCTAGTGTTATTATTGATTTTGCTATTTTTCAGTCACCAACAAATTTTCTGTAGCGGTTCTCTTTTCCCTTAAGAAAAATATTATTTATTTTTGTTCTCGAGTAGCGGATACCTGTTTCTTTTTATCCTAGACTTCCCTGGGATCCCTGGGTGGCGCAGCGGTTTGGCGCCTGCCTTTGGCCCAGGGCGCGATCCTGGAGACCCGGGATCGAATCCCACGTCGGGCTCCCAGTGTATGGAGCCTGCTTCTCCCTCTGCCTGTGTCTCTGCCTCTCTCTCTCTCACTGTGTGCCTATCATAAATAAATAAAAAAAAAAAAAAATCCTAGACTTCCCTAAATGTGTAATATTCCATTTCTTTATTCTCATTTTAATGATGGCTGATTCTCACTTGAAGATTAAGTGTGCTCCACGCTGTTCTAGGATTATTCGATTTGATTCAACTTTGGGGAAAAAAGCAGCACGAAATATAAATACGCAAGTATATACACAGACTAGTTACTGAAATGAAGTTCTCTGTTGCTCTCTAGAGGCTGAATGTGCTTTAAAGATCCTTCACTGAAGGCAGGGGGAACACAGCTTACCTTTTAACATATCATAAAGTGACTCAATACCAAGCCCTACTGAAGAGAAAGCCCTCATATCTCCAGGGGCTCTTAAGATTTAAACTATGATCCTTTTCCTACTTAAT